GAAGGCAAACAGTGCGGGAGAGAGAAGGGAACACGGCGGGAGGAGAAGGCAAACAGTGCGGGGGGAGAGAAAGGGAAACCAGTGCGGGGGAGAGGGAAGGCAAAAACCCGTGGGGGGAGAGAAGGCAAAAAGTGGGGGAGAGGAAGGAAACAGGCGGGAGAGAGAAAGGCAACACAGTGCGGGGAGAAGGGCAAAAACCCGTGGTTGAGGGAAGGCAACAAGTGCGGGGAGAGAGAAGGAACACAGGGGGGGAGAGAGAAGGCAAAACCGTGGGGGGAAAAAGAGAAGGCAACACAGTGCGGGGAGAAGAAGGCAAAACAGGCGGGGAGAGAGAAGGCAACACAGGGGGGGAGAGGAGGCAAACCCCGTGGGTTGGAGAGGAAGGAAACAGGCGGGGAGAGAAGGCAACACAGGGGGAGGGAAGGCAAAACAGTGCGGGGGGAGAGAAGGCAAACGGCGGGGGAGAGAGAAGGAAAAAAAGGGGGGAGGAGGGAAAAAACAGTGGTGGGGAGAAGGCAAAAAACAGGGGGGAGAGAGAAAGGGAAAACAGTGGGGAGAGAGGGAACCAGGCGGGGGAGGAAGGCAACACAGTGGGGAGAGGAAGGAAAACAGGGCGGGGGGAGAGAAGGAACACGTGCGGGAGAGGAAGGCAAAACCCGTGCTGGAGAGAGAGGCAAAACAGGCCCTGGAGAGAGAAGGCAAAACAGGGGGTGGAGAGAGAGGCAAAACCCGTGGTGGAGAGAGGGCAACCAGTGGTGGAGGGGGGAAAACAAGGGGAAGAGAAAAAGTCAGGAAACAAAATTAAAAGGAAAAAAACCAGGAGAAGAACTTTGTTAAAAATTCAAATTTATTTTGGAAAATAGGGGCAAAGGCGGGATAAAAACCCAAACTTCTTTGAAAAAGGGCCAAATTGAAAAACCAAAACATTTTGGAAATTTCCACTAAAAAATTTTTTTTTTAAAAAAATATTTTTGGAAAAAACCTACAAAATTTTAAAAATTTTAATTAAAAAAAAATAAAATAAAATTTTCCCCTTATCTATTTTAAAATTTTTTAAAAATAAAAAAAAATAATTAAAATAATTAAAAATTAATAAAATTTTAATACTTTTAAAATTTAATAAAATTAAAAAAATTTTTTTAAAAATTTTAATATAATTTTATTATAATATTAAATTAAAAATTAAAAATAAAATTAAAATTAAAAAAAAAAATAATAAAAAAAAAAATTATAATTATAATTTTTTAAAATTTTTTTAATAAAAAATTAATTTAAAAAAAAAAAAGTTTTTCTTATTAAATAAATAAAAATAAAATTAAATTTATTAAAAAATTTTTTTAAATAAAATTTTGAAATTTTCCCCCCCCCCCCCTTAAAATTTTATTAAGAAAATTTGTCAAGAAATTTTTCTCCAAAAAAAATTTCTGACCAAAATTTTGCAAAAAAATTTTGAAACCCGGGTTTTATTCTGGGTTTTTTTTCCTTGGTTTGATCATCATGTTTTTTAAAATAAAAAATTTAAAATTAAAAATTAAAAATTTAAATCATCTTTAACAAACTTTAAATGAGTGGGGCGATTTTTTAATTTTGCTCTAAGGCTCCCCCCAGGAATTTTTACCCCAAAAGGGTATTGATCTAGAATAATTTGGGGGTTTAAAGTATTTATCCTGATTCCCCAAAATTTTATTTCTCCAAAGTGGTTTTAAAACCGAGGGTGTTTTTTAACCAGGGGTTTTTTCCCCAAGGGTTTTTTCCCCCCGGTTTTTATCAACCCCCATGTTTTTTACCCCCAATTTTTTTATTAAAGTTTTTTTTAACCCCAAGGTTTTTTTAAAAAGTGGACACCCACGTCGTTTTTTAAACCAACCAGGGTTTTTCCCCCGTTGGGTTTTTCCCCCAAAGGGGTTTTTTTCCCCCCTTTTTTTTAAAAGGGTTTTTTAAAAAGTTGTTTTTTTCAACCCCCCCGTGTGTTTTTAAACCCCCGTGGGTTTTTTTCCCACTGTGTTTTTTTTTCCCCCGTTGTTTTTAAACCCCAGTGGTTTTTATCACCCCAGTTGTTTTTTCACCACAGTGTGTTTTTTACCCCCAGTCTGTTTTTATCAAACCCCCGTGTGTTTTTTTCACCCCCAGTCGTTTTTATAACCCCAGTGTGTTTTATCATCCACAGTCTGTTTTTATCAACCCACAGTGTGTTTTTATCACCCATAGTTTGGTTTTATCACCCACAGTGTGTTTTATCACCCACAGTTTGGTTTTATCACCCACAGTGTGTTTTTATCACCCACATTGAGGTTTTATCACCCACATTGAGGTTCTATCACCCACATTGAGGTTTTATCAGCTAACTGGTAAATCCGTGCTTTAGGTGTGAGAGTTTATACTTAACACTTTACACGACCGTCTACCTAACCACTAGTTATGCAGCCTCGTTATAGCAAAATTTATGATATTGGTATTAAGTACTGACAAGTTGATGAATAATTTCATAATGTCATACAGAGTTTACCTGGAGAGGGTTTCGGGAGCCAACGCCCCCGCGGCCCGGTCTGAGACCAGGCCTCAGGATGAATCAGGTGTCTGATCAACCAGGCTGTTACTGCTGGCCGCACGCAAGCTGACGTACGAACCACAGCCCGGTTGGTCAGGTACTGACTTTAGGAGCCTGTCCAGTGCCTTCTTGAAGACAGCCAGGGGTCTATTGGTAATCCTCCTTATGTATGCTGGGAGGCAATTGAACAGGCTTGGGCCCCTGCCGAGTCTTTTGCTTTCATAGGGAGTGATTTTTCGTGTGCAGGTTTGGTACCAATCCCTCCAGGGCCTTTCAAGTGTATATTATCATGTCTCTCGCCTGCGTTCCAGGGAATACAGATCAAGGACCTTCAACCGTTCCCAGTAGTTTAGGTGCCTTATCGTACTTATTTGTGCCGTGAAAGTTCTTTGTACACTCTCCAGGTCCGCAATGTCGCCAGCCTTGAAGGGGGCCGTTAGTGTACAGAGTAGTGGTAAACAGAATTAAATCGGAAGCTGCCACAGTGAAAGATATGTTTCACAAGGCACAGTACTCGCGTCTATCCTGTTCCTCATATCAGACATAGACAGAGGTGTAAACCATAGCACCATATCATCCTTTGCAGACGCTACTAGGCTCTGCATGAGTGTGTCATCCATTGAGGACACAGCAAAGCTCCAAGAAGATATAAACCAAGTTTTCCAATGGACAACAGAGAACAATATGATGTTCAATGAAGACAAATTCCAACTACTCCGTTATGGAAAACTGGAGGAAATAATAACTAGAAATGAGTATATTACAAACTCTAATCACACAATAGAGCGGAAAAGTAATGTGAAGGACCTGGGAGTGGTAATGTACGAAGATCTCACTTTCAAGGACCACAACAATGCCACTATCACATCTGCGAGGAAACTGATATAATGGATAATGAGAATGTTCAAGACAAGAGATGCAAAGCCACTGACGATCCTCTTTAAATCACTTGTTCTCTCCAGGGTGGAATACTGCTGTATATTAACATCTCTATTCAAGGCAGGTAAAATTGCAGATCTAGAGAATGTACAGAGAACTTTTACTGCACATATAAGTTCCATCAAATACGTTAACTAATGGGAACGCTTGGAAGCACTTGACTTGTACTCGCTGCACACAGAAATCAAAAGACTTGGCAGGCGATGCATCATACCCCCAGTGAAAAGTAAGGACGCCATTAATACACTAAGAGAAAACACAATAAGTGTCCGGGGCGTAAGACTGTTCAACAGCTTCCCACCAGCCATAAGGGGAATTAACAATAGACCGCAGGTTGTCTTCAAGAGGGAACTGGACATTTATCTAAAGTCAGTGCTGGATCAGACGGGCTGTGGTTCGTACGTTGGACTACGTGCAGCCAGCAGTAACAGCCTCGTTGATCAGGGCCTGATCAATCAGGAGGCCTGGTCATGGACCGTGCCGTGGGGGCGTTGATCCCCGGAATATCCTCCATGTAGACTCCAGGTAGGTAGGGGAGGTATAGAAGGTAATAATAAAGGGAACGAAGAGAGAGAGAGAGAGAGAGAGAGAGAGAGAGAGAGAAGGGTGGAAAATAGTAGCCGTTCTTACCAGGTAATTAGTGAGGTGCAGCAGAGGTTACCCACTCACCTCACTACACCACAAGTCTACCTTATAGCAAAAGATTATAATTAAAATGACGGGGACAGTGAATACATTATTCCACTCATACAGTTTTGATAAATCCTTCTACAATAATGTACTTGGATAAGGGAGAAACTGACTAGGATATTAAGATACATGGGAATATATAAAATATCGAGATAGGTAATACACAATTATGGTCAAAATGAATATACACTTACAGTATATTAGATCAATAGGACAGTTCACTTGTAGGAGTCTCTAGCCACAGGTCACAAGACCACACATTGGCGACAGGTCTCTCTCTCTCTCTCTCTCTCTCTCTCTCTCTCCAAAGTTCTCCAAATGAGCCTGCGGCTCTCACGCCTCGGTCAGAGTACTCACCTCTGTCAGTCCTATGCTCCAAGTTTTCCTCCAGAACTCGGCACACCGGCCAGAGTTCTCCCTGAATTCTCTCTCTCAGCTGTTTCCCTGAGTTTATATGGTCCTCTATGCATTCCCCTTAACTCCAAGGTCCGGGTGTCACCCTCCTTGGCTAGTACAACACCATTAACACCCTCTCCTAATTAAAGGATAATCGCTTAGTCGATCAAAAGACCTGTGAAGCCAGAACACAGGTGTTCTCTCTCTTGGGAATGCAACAGTTTCACACTTACCTGACGTGGCGAGGGTGTGGCAGATTATCAAATTACTAGACAGGTCCTGCTTGTGACATGATATTTGTAGGACGGTTCGTCTACTTGTACATCACAATATGACACACATGCGACACTTGGCAACCGTAATTGTATTACCACTTGGTACCTTTGTTCGGGAAATTAAGATATCTAGAAGCTGCATATGGGTCTCATTTATCAACATGGTTTGCAGCTTCCTTGCTCACCTGCTCATACTCGCTGATGAAGAGCTGGTCTTTGGAGCACAGCGGGGAAGCCTCCAGGTTGAAGTCGCTGATGTCAAGGTGGATGTCCAGGTCCTGCTCCGGGGCCGTGATGACCCACTGGCAGCGGGTACTGATTGGATATGCTGTAGGATACCCAGGAGATTCTAGCACCTGGGTCACGTTCGTGGCCTCGAGGCTGGCTGCCCCACAAGGATCTAGTTTTGAAAAGAAGTATTCAGTGAATGACACTGGTTTGGTTGTCAGAGGATCGAGTCTCTGAGTACTTCATACAAGATCATCGCTTAAAAATATTATTTTTTTTTTAACGAACTAGCCGTATCCCACCGAGGCAGGGTGACCTAAAAGGAAAAACAAACGTCTCTCTTTTTAAATTTAGTAATTTATACACAAAAAGGAATTACTAGCCCCTTGCTCCCGGCATTTTAATCACCTTGACGACATGCTGAGGAAGAATTCTTTTCCACTTCCCCGTGGAGATAAGAGGAAATAAAGAACAATAACTGTCAAGAAAACAGAAAAAAACTCAGATGGGTGTGTTAATATAATCACATGGACAGGCATATGTAGTGTAATCTAATTGTAAGTAGCAAGATATACCTGTTATCTCATCTGTAGAACAACCACTGTGAAAAAATAGTGAACTCCCAAGCGCTTTCGTGATTTCTCACATTATCAAGGAGCAGTAAAAGTAAAAGATTAGCAGATTGCACATAAGGGCGAGATTACACCTTGCGGTCAATATTCAACATTTGACCCTTTATGATGATGCGGGTGTGGTGGTCAAGGACCTGTCGAACACCGTTTATTGGATAAACAGAGCATTCGACTTTTGTGTACTTCTAGTGCTATATTTATGTTGTTGTAATCTTAGTTCAAGACTTTTCCCAGTTTGATCGTAATAAATTATTACATTTTTTACAAGGAATCTTCTAGACACAACCATCAGCAATTTTGGGGGGAATTTTTAATCAACAGTATTTTCTACTATATCGAAATTTTAAAATATAACTTTGATTTTAAACTTTTTAAGAAGAGAAGCTATATCAAGAAAGTTTTCATGGTAAAGGAGAACAAATATATTTATAGTTGAATAAGACTGTTTTGTTTTTTTGACAAAGTTGTATTTAAAATTCTCTATACAGTAAAAAAAATTTTGTTTAAAAATTCCTCCAAAAAATGCTGATGGTTGTGTCTACAAGATTTCCTGTAAAAGATGTGATAAAGATTACCTTGGTCAAACTGGGAAAGTCTTGAACTAATATTACGACATAAATATAGCTTTAGAAGAGGACAAGAGTCTAATGCTCTGTTTATCCAATATATTTTGCTTTTAAATTCAACGTACAATCAATCTGTTTATATAAGATTGTACTTTTGAAACCGAGCAAACCACTGTAAAATATTTTTGTAATCCAGCATCACAAATGAGAAGAGCCAGCTGGTTGGTATAACGTACGTGGTGTGTTGGTGAGCTTGGCTGTGAAGCCAGGTCTCTGATTGGTACTGTCAGAGTAGAAGCGGATGAACATGACGTTAGAGGAGGAAGACACGACCAGAGGCAGCGACGTGGGGTTGCAGTGCACGGAGATCAAGGCAGAGGCTGTAGACGGCCCATCGTACAGCTGCGTCGGAGGAACATGTGTAAGCTCAAAAAGGAGTCAAGTCTCTTAGAATTAAATGCACAGACCTGAAGTATTTAGAAGGTGCCCCAAAGTGGTTACCCTGTCCTGCAATTGGGGAAAATGTGTTACTCGATACAAGTTGACTTGAGGTGAATATTTTGAGGTGGAGACTGTGTGAACAATAGTCATTCATGTGAGAGTTTATAGTTATGAAGGCCCAGTGTTTTTTTGTAAGATAATAATAATAATAATAATAATAATAATAATAATAATAATAATAATAATAATAATAATAATAATAATACGGGAAAATAAAACCATGAAATGCTTTTGATGAGGGTAAAATATTTTAAGGTGAAAGTTGTGGAAAGATTAGTGTTTTTATATTCTATATAGGTTTAATGCCAGAGTTAGAGCCGTTAACAAGGTGGCTGGGGATTCCTGGGGGTTTGTCGAGGGAAGGGAAGCCCCCTCAGTCACCGTCTCAACTACAATAAGCCTTCAGTGTTATATTCGCATGTATTCAACTGAAAAAAAAACTTGTTTTAGAGGTTGTTGTTGGGTTTATCAGGGCCACTGGCAGCATAACCCGTATCGAGCCCGACTTCTCGATGGTACGAGGAAGATTTGTTGCCCAAGGCTGGGCGATGAGAGAAAAGGAACAAAAGTTCCTTTGTAAATAGAGATAGAAACTTGAAGTTTCCAATTAGATCCGGTGAACCTCATTGCCAAGCCCCAGCAGAGAGGGACGCCCACACCCCCACCTGAGTTTAGTAACCGGCTTTCCACCAAAGACAGATAAAGAATTATCCGCAGAGCAGAAAATAATGAAGTTGGTTAAAGAAAGCAGATGAACAGGTGCCCCTTCTGTAGAGTGCCCGGCGGGCAAAATAGATGAGGACAAGTGTCCCAGAGAGAACGGGGAAAATTTGTCACTGATACCCAGACGAGAGAGAGACGTCCACACTCAACGAAGGCTAGAGCAGAAGTCCGTTTTACAGGGTTGCAGGTTTGTTTGCAGGTTTGTTTGCAGGTTTGTTTGCAGGTTTGTTTGCAGGTTTCAGCGATCAGGGTACCCAAGTGTTGCACATGTGTCTTAATATTTTTTAGGCCCTAGGGAATTTCAGATAACCAGGCATGATGCAAGGAAGGAGAAAGCAAACTTAAATGCTTGGTCCAAGAGCATCAAATGGATAGTATACCATTACTCCGTCGTAAGGGCAGGGTGAAGTGTCATTGGCTCCTGGAGGTTCCACGTCCAGTCTGGTGAAGTTGAGAGTCACAACGTTGTCTGTTAGACCCTCGACCAGCCAACCACAGTCCAACAGAGGCTCGTAATTACCTGTTGAGAGAGTTTTGGTCTTGGGTAGCATTGAAAATTAGGTTGGGCAAATGTTTTGTTAGTGGTATAGATTGTAAAGGACCTACCTAGTATGGGCCAACAGGCCTGTTGCAGTGATCCTCCTTTCTTATGTTCTTATGTTAGCTGAATTTGATTACACTGTGACTTCGTAAAATTACGAATTTCAGGAAGCGTGGAGACTTCATCTCAAATTTCTACCATAGAATACTGTTGATTGTGATATTATATTTGAATATATGAAATGGGAGTTATAAAAAGGGGGTTCCAGGGACCAATGAGTGAATAAGAAATAACGCGAGTGGTAAGATTAAAGTTTTAGAGGTTTCCAGGAAGATTAGCACCAGCACATACGCTCATTTTTTATATAAAACACACTTAAGTAACAGAAAGTTTTTATATGAGAGAGAGAGAGAGAGAGAGAGAGAGAGAGAGAGAGAGAGAGAGAGAGAATCAGAGAACCAGGGAAATGAGTATCACTCACCATCGTTATCAGCATCAAGAGATCTTATGGTCTGGTAGGCTCCACTGTATGAGATGTTTACATTTCCTCCACAAGCTGCAACAAACTCCAGCTTATCAATTACAAATTCATTTATATATATATATATATATATATATATATATATATATATATATATATATATATTATATATATATATGTAGGTCAGTCTACGTGGGTCTTGAACTCATGCCTCTAACAACCAAACATAGTGAAAATATTGTCTCTAATGGCCATGTTTTAGACACAACCGTACAGGCGGGAGAGTAAGAGGATGTGTGAGGCAGTGACGAGTGAGCAGCGACGAGTGAGCAGCGACGAGTGCGCAGGGACGAGTGAGCAGCGACGAATGAGCAGGGACGAGTGAGCAGCGACGAGTGAGCAGGGACGAGTGAGCAGCGACGAGTGAGCAGGGACGAGTAAGTAGCAACGAGTGAGCAGCGACGAGTAAGCAGCGACAAGTGAGCAGCGACGAGTAAGCAGCAACGAGTGAGCAGCGACGAGTGAGCAGGGACGAATGGGCAGTGGTTGGAACAAGGTGTCATGGAGTTTGGTTAAATAGTGAGGAGTAGTATTTTGGGAAAGTTTTAGGCCATAAGTCGTTTGAGGAAATATTTTCCTTTATAATCTTCAGTTGTCCTTATCATTGGGCAAGGCCCCGGCATTAATGTGGGGCTTGTGTAGTGGAAAGTGCAGCAAAAATGCTTAAATTTTTACCAGCAGGGAAATATGGCGATCTATAGGCGCCAATAAAATTTTATTCTTCTGTGGCCTAATGACCCTTGTGGGCTTAGCACTTGCTTTTGATAGTAATAATATAAATGTGGCTTGACTTTAAGTGCCTGGTAAAAGTATACTGATGTATTTTTTTTTTGTAATGGTGTTATGCAGGTGAGTTTATCTGTCCTTCGAAACTATTGTTTAGTGCTTTTGGTAAAGTTACCTTTCTGGTCCTTGGTGGTGTATTTTATTTAATACTTTATATATCCCTAGACAAGGCATAACAACCCACCATAGACAAGTTATGCTCATCTCTCTCATCGCACTGATGCATATAAATACATTCATCAATTGTTTGATTTCCTGGTCAAATTTCCATCAGTGAATGAAGACATTTCAACAGCAGTAGCCGAGTTTCAGAAGAATTACTCAGATGACTTCAAGTCTGGATTTATACCCGAAATTCTTCGTTTAAAAACTTTGCTGGGCAATTTGATGAATTCAGGTACAATCATGAAACACTGTAAGCTTCTGAGCTGTATAATCCTCCGGGTTTAGCGCTTCCCCCTTGATTATAATAATAATAATGTAAGCTTCTGATACCTACAACCTTGTAGTAAATAGTAGATTAACTTCTTCATCCATCTAAAAAATGCACACGGGTGTTCCGTAGCTTGATGGCTAGCGCACTCAGCTCACACACTGAGGTCCAGGGGTTTGATCCCTGGTATGGGTGGAAATATTAGGACGTGTTTCCTTAAAGTACCTGCTGTCTATGTTAACCCATCAGTAAAATAGGTACCTGGGTGTTAGTAGACTGGTGTGCGTCGCATTCTGGGGACAAAACTGACCTAATTTGCCCGATATGCTCAGCATAACAAGCGGCTTTCTATACAGTAGTATGTCATTGATGTCAGCTATGGTCTGTATACCTTGTACATGTACTTGTAGAAATAAACATATTATTATTATTGTGGTTAGTATAGTAAAAATAAATTTAATACTCCATTAACTTTTTTCCCTTTAAAAATATCCCTGGGGACCTAACAGTACCCGTAGCCCAGGAGGCTACAAAATCTTAATCCGGCTCTGCTCATAGATGACGTGACGGGAAGGTTCGAGTAGGAGCCATGCTTTGATGATAATGAGGGGCTCTTGATCCAAGTAAATGAATCAAACCTAACTAAACCTAATTGCTTTCATTTTACCAGGCACTGTATATACTCGCAGAAACAAGCGGGTATATACAGAGAAAGCTCGCAGTCAGCAGGACTCGATACTGCTACTGGGATCTGCCTGGTGCATTGATATAAAAAATAGCTTGTGAAGTCAGGATATACAGGAGGAGATTGAAATAGCTTGAATCGATGTTTGAAGCTGACTGACGTGCCCGGGCTGTGAACCAGGCTTCCCAGCTTTTGTGGCATTTGTGTGGCCTAGTGGTTTAGAGCGCTGCCTGGGAATCTTGTCCGTCTCAGTAGCAGTATCGAGTCCTGTTGACTGCGATCTTTCTCTGTGTGTATATTATATATATATATATATATATATATATATATATATATATATATATTATATATATATATATATATATATTACTAACGTTAATACCCACCATATGTGAAATCAAGAGCAGCCACGACGCCCAGACCTGTGATGCTAACGTCACTTTGGAAGATAACCCTTGCCAGCCTCTGGTGGGTGACGACGGTGGGCAGCGCTGAGGTGTGGTTCCCACACAGGCGGGTCACTAGCTTGTCCTCTTGCGACGTGTGTCCGTCGAAGATACTGACACTGTCATATGTGCACCGTGAGTGCCCCTCCAGCTCCAGTATTTGGAACCTAAATGGATTTTCAAAGTTATACACAGTTATGGCAAACCTGTAGTGTATGATTGCCTTATTCTACACGATCGTTACAGTGTGGAACCTCCCAGCAATGTGCTGTTATCCTATCCTAATCAACGTACACTTGGATCCCGCTTTACATCACTTCACTTTATAGTGTTTCGCTAATACAGCAGTTTTCAATTATGCCCATTCTACCTTCATCAGATTTTACAATAATTATATTCACCACTCACTATAAGTTATGAACTAAAATGTTTTAAGGTAAGTAATGTGTGTATTGTACATGCATTTTTTAAGCCTTGCTCTGTTGCTCACTTAAAAATATTATAGTGTAAAATATTATCAGGCATTTTTAGGCATTTAAAATTGAAAAAAAGGATGATTCACTTTAAGGCGATTTTCGCTTTACGGCGATAGCCTGGAACCAAACCCACTGAACAATTGGATTCCCTCTTGTAATAGTCACAGTGAAGGAGCCCCCCCTTCCTCTCCAGAATAGGCTACCTGTGTATTCCTGGTCACTGGATCATAGTGTAGCACAAGTAGTATTATCTTGTCCAGTTGTGTATCATTCACTTTCTGCACTGCATTTTAATGCGTGGAAAGTGAATTAGATAAAAAAATGATTAAAAGAAGGATGATTTTCTTCCCTAAGACAATGTCAGTATGTTACTCACATGTTAATGTCTGGGATTAAAAATATGATAAACACTGTGGACCGCATTCAACACGTAAGGTGTCACACCTTGTCTATCATAACACTGGTACTCACGTAAGGTGTCACACCTTGTCTATCATAACACTGGTACTCACGTAAGGTGTCACACCTTGTCTATCATAACACTGGTACTCACGTAAGGTGTCACATCTTGTCTATCATAACACTGGCATTCACGTAAGGTGTCACACCTTGTCTATCATAACACTGGCACTCACGTAAGGTGTCACACCTTGTCTATCATAACACTGGCACTCACGTAAGGTGTCACATCTTGCCTATCATAACACTGGCACTCACGTAAGGTGTCACACCTTGTCTATCATAACACTGGCACTCACGTAAGGTGTCACACCTTGTCTATCATAACACTGGCACTCACGTAAGGTGTCACATCTTGCCTATCATAACACTGGCACTCACGTAAGGTGTCACACCTTGTCTATCATAACACTGGTACTCACGTAAGGTGTCACATCTTGTCTATCATAACACTGGCACTCACGTAAGGTGTCACATCTTGTCTATCATAACACTGGCACTCACGTAAGGTGTCACATCTTGTTTATCATAACACTGGCACTCACGTAAGGTGTCACATCTTGTCTATCATAACACTGGCACTCACGTAAGGTGTCACATCTTGTCTATCATAACACTGGCACTCACGTAAGGTGTCACATCTTGTCTATCATAACACTGGCACTCACGTAAGGTGTCACATCTTGTCTATCATAACACTGGCACTCACATAAGGTGTCACACCTTGCCTATCATAACACTGGCACTCACGTAAGGTGTCACACCTTATCTATCATAACACTGGCACTCACGTAAGGTGTCACACCTTATCTATCATAACACTGGCACTCACGTAAGGTGTCACACCTTATCTATCATAACACTGGCACTCACGTAAGGTGTCACACCTTGTCTATCATAACACTGGCACTCACGTAAGGTGTCACACCTTGTCTATCATAACACTGGCACTCACGTAAGGTGTCACACCTTATCTATCATAACACTGGCACTCACGTAAGGTGTCACACCTTATCTATCATAACACTGGCACTCACGTAAGGTGTCACACCTTATCTATCATAACACTGGCACTCACGTAAGGTGTCACACCTTATCTATCATAACACTGGCACTCACGTAAGGTGTCACACCTTATCTATCATAACACTGGCACTCACTTGAGATGTATCACCTTGCCCTGCGGTGCAGTGATGTCCCAGGTGCACGACATGTGGTTCTCATATATGGGTCTCGTTGGTAACCTGATGATTCCAGGGGAACTCAGATTACCCCCACAGGCTGCAGGACCAAATAAATAATTACTATTACAGAACATTGACGTTAAAGTGCCGAACCTATTGGGATCGTTCAGCAATGAGAAACAGGTAATCCAGCTTGATCCAAGGAAGGAGAGAATAACTATTTCCTTGAGTCTAGAACATTTTCATTAAGGAGTATTTGCAGCTATAAGTGCACTGATATCATTGAGAGAGAGAGAGAGAGAGAGAGAGAGAGAGAGAGAGAGAGAGAGAGACAGAGACAGAGACAGAGAGAGAGAGAGAGAGAGAGAGAGAGAGAGAGAGAGATTGTTGTGTTGTTGTACTAATAGATAAAACAGGGTGTCCAACCTTCAACGCTGAAGTTTGCCGTGAAACCAGATAAGGTCACGTAAACGTCTGAGACGAAGTGCAGGGTGGTGGGTCCCCTGCTTATGATAACATCAGGAGGGGTGTTCCTGTCACAGTACGGTCCCCATCTGCGTCTAACTAAGCCGCTACTTGACTCCTGTATCACCGTCACAGAATCGTACCGGCAGTTTGATCCATCTGAATTATTATTGTTATTATTATTCTTTTTCTTTTTCTTCATCTTATTACTATAATTATTAAAATTATTAACATATGCAACACAATCAACAGAAATAACAGATCATTACTTACATTCAACGTGAAAGTTCAGGAAGTTAATGGTGACAAACTGGCCTGGGGGCGCTAGAATCCTGTAGAGACAGTTGGCGTTGTTGGGGTAATTTTGGGGATGCTGTGGAGACACGATGTAGCCGGCATTATCTGTGAAGTTGTTGCCACACACCAGTTGCCACGACACCTGCCATAAACAACATACCGGACGTTATTCCATTTGGTATCGACCTTTCGTTTTATCCTCCCTTAAAAAAAACACGAAGTCAAAAAGGAACATAAACAATATATTAATTTATGTAGAATTGGAAAGGACTATATATATTGTTCTTCCGAGTAAGTAAAACTTGCGATTTTGGCTTAAATAGCAACGCACTTCTTGCCGAATAGGGCAAGCAAAAATTTGTGTATGCAATAATTTTGTGAAATCGTTCTGAATCTAACGAAAAAATATATTTCAAAGTGTTTGTTTATTATTAAATTATTGTAAACTTATATAAAACACATCTAGTTGGGTTATGCTAAATTAACTTGCGTTTGTTATAATAAGATTAGGTAAGTTTCCTAAGGTTCTTTTGGTACAAAATGATTAATTTTTATATTAATATAAATGAAAAATATATTTAAATGTAAAGGAATTTTTTTTAGAAAGGACTTAATTTTAAATGAGTTCTTGCTAATTGACCAGCTTTACCTATTCGGCACGACATGTACATGAATTAGAGAGGAAGAGGGAAAGAGACAGAGACGTACCTTGAAACCATCACCCTGAACTGCTTCGTTGGAGTGGAACAGGACCTTAATGTTGCCTATAGAGGACCTGACTGGTGGAGGAATCTGTTTACCACACAGTTTCTCCCCTTCCTGCCACTCCAAGGGACCGTGGCTTTGGCGAGTCGTCTTCGAGTACAATATCTGTACGTTGAGGGGGAAACTATTATTATTCATGGTTACTCACTAAATTCATAGGGGACATATAACACGTGGAGAATGGGTAATCAGGTTTGATCCAAGCAATAAGACACAGTAGCTTTAGGTTCATTTGTTTTTTGCATCACTAAAGCAGACACCTGAATAACTTGGAAAGTCCCATGCAGGACGTCCTTCAAGTCTTAAAACTAGGGTAGCATTACTATAGATGACTAAGACACATGCACAACATCGAGGTACCGACCCTCGGAGGGTAAAAGAAGGGGAGGATAGCCCCCAATTCCTCATTTGAACAACATTTCACTTGAACAAAACACTGAGCAAAACGTTTCACTTGAGTGAAACGTTGTCCAGATCAGGGTTCTGTCTGCTTTTTATTACATACAGGTAGATACAAAGAGAGAGGGAGTGTGTGTGTGTGTGTGTGTGTGTGTGTGTGTGTGTGTGTGTGTGTGTGTGTGTGTGTGTGTGTGTGTGTGTGTGTGTGTGTGTGTGTGTCATATCTCCTGCAGAGTTGTCTTCATTACATCCACCAACCACGCACCTGGACGTAGTCATTCTGACAGCCGGTACTACTCTCTACATCGAAGCGGTCGGTGAAGTGGAGGACTGCGTGGTACCCGGTGGTTGGGTCCACCTCCCACTCGCACTCTGTATTGGCCTCGTAGCTGCCGGGGAAGCCGTGGCTGGAGAAGTTCCCACTCATCCCGTGAAACACTCCCCCGCATCCTGTGTCCAAAGATCGCCGCGATCACCCTCTGTAATCTCCACATGGTTGGTAATTCGTGATGAGTAATTATAACATTATTTTTATACAACACCGACGAGTTGATGAATTAGACACATGAGGAACACCTGGGCACCATTATTTTGAGAACGTTTTGGCTAATGAGCATTTTATTGTCATCATATGACAAGCTCTGTATTGAATCAATAAAACCACTGGATGGTGAAACTTCTTAAAATAATGTGTCGAATTCATCAAAGACTTTCAAAAAATGCTTTTTTTTGGGGGGGGGGGGGGAATTTTACGACTATTCACGCACTCTATTGTGAATGGGGAATGGACCTATCACTGACATTCATAGGTGTTGGACCCGTTACTGATATGCCTGGGTGACAATACAATTATCATATTGATTTGCCTGGGTGTTAGACTTATCACTGACATGACTGGGTCCTGCACGTACCTCTGACATGCCTGGCAGCCACGGCCCTGAAGCCCTGGTCGGTGTTGGAAGCATCCGTGTGGAACTCTACCAAGAGATTATTAGTCATGGAGGTCCCCACAGAGAAAGGTTCCTTCCTTCCACTGTAGGAGCCTAATGTGGGTGAAAGGAGTCGTGGCCCATTGTACAGCTTCACATAATCATGGTGTGCTGAAGGCTCCAGCTTGAAGTTTGTGAACTGGAACTGTAAAAAACCCACACAAATCATCACTGTCTTGTTATACCTGCAAGTTGTCAGTGAAATACAAGGAATAAAGTCCCACTGCTGGTTGCTTAATTAGATCTGAAGCCTATCAACTGCATAAAGGTCATTAGACTAAGTGTCACCTGAGCACCACCAAATATACCTTTACCACTAGCAAATGGATTATAGTCAACTCTCAGGGTACGTACGTTGAGAGATACAAAAAAGTCAGTGGCATTTTAACCTTAGTCATCCTTGAACTTGGCAACCTTCGTATCAATTAGCATTTACGAAGACATATCTGATATTAAATTATTTTGTGGTTGAATAGGAAGCATTGTGTACCCTCCCTAAGCGGACGTATTTCGTTAAAACTCCGTTTATTGATCTTTGTCACAGACACTCCTGATTCAATTGAAATTAAAAATGATCCCAAGCGAAAGTCTTATATAAACCATCCTTACTATACACAAATAGGCCACACATAAGAGAATGAAACGACGTTTCGGTCCGACTTGGACCAATAACCAGTCACACCAGGTCAGACTGAAACGTCGTCATAAGATTCGTTCTCCTGTGTGCTGGCTATTTGTGTACTGTTTCAGTCCATACCGGACTAGGCATCAAAATGAAAATAAATATTAAATTTACCACTATGTACTGAAAACAATGACCCTTTTACCATATTTTATAAGATATTGAATGCTATATTTATGGGCTAGTGTTGAATCCTTATTCGTCACGAGGCAGTGCAGTATAGTTTCAATTCCTCGGATCAAGAGCCCTTCAGCAGTATCAGAATGCCCCAGCCACTCCCAGGAAGGGATGACTCCCTCCAAAATGCCCAAATTTCAGGGGGAGCTGTTCTTACCTTAATTACTTCAGTTTGCTAAGTGTTATCCTTACCTCGATTTGCTCTCCCTCGGGGTAGTTTAGGAACCACATACAGTGCACATTGTTTGGATAGTGTGATGGGTAGTTTGGTGAGGTAATAACATTTTGCGGTCCGTGTACAACCCCGCCACAGGGACTCAGTCCGTACGTCAGGTTCCAGCCAGAGGCGTTGACGATGGTATCCGTCTGTAGTGCCATAATACAAAAGAAAACCTTTAGTTAATGTTAAGAAAAGACGCACATTGCTGAAAAAAGAGAACAAGATTTTATTGGGACAACGTGTAGTGCGTTTTATCCCAGTGATGTTGTCTCTAGTGCTTTAGGGAAGTAGGTGGAGACTCAGTTCCCATACTGAGGACGCGCTGCACTGGTGGAAACACTGGGTATGCTTCCTTACAGCCGCTGCTCCGGTTCACCTAGCAGTCAGTAGGTGCTTGAGTGTTAGGTAACTATAGTGGACGTTGCATTCCAGCATGTTTAAGTATACTTTAAATAGGACTGAGCTTTGAAATATAGCTGAGGTAAGGTAACAGCTCTTAAACTGTAAATCGAAGTGTGAAAAAATATGTCTGATGCTTGTGTACGCCATTCGAAATGTTCTTTCCATAAGAGTTCGCTGTGATTTTTTTACAATGAAATCTTAGGATAAGAGATAAGGTCAAGCTTATTTCAAAGCTTGACCTTATCTAACATATACCACCTCCCAAGGTGGTATATCTAGGTGTCAGTTTACTGACTGGAGAATAAATGGAACCAGATATATAAACACTTGCCAATCCGTTTTGCCCTGCCCAGGAATCGAACCCGGGACATTTGGGATACTTGCACACTAAACTCCAAGCTTTGTTTTGTGGCCCGTGGCCTGGTGGTAAAAGCTCTTGCTTCAGACGGTGAGGTGTCCGGATTCGATTCCCGGCGAGGATAGAAACACTGAGCGTGTTTCCAAACACCAGTTGTCTATATTCACCCATCAGTAAAATGAGTACCTGGGTGTTAGTCAACTGGTGTGGGTCGCATCCTGGGACAAAACTGACCTAATTTGCCTGAAATGTCAGCTAGGCCTGTATACCTTGTACATGAACAAATAATTATAATATTATTAAAATTATTTTAATGAGACAGGTCACATTCAGCTCCTGCTGCACTCAGACCAACTCTGAGCTAAGAGTAAGAGTTAAGAGTAAGAGCTAAGAGTAAGAGTTTTTAATATGAGTTTGCATCTCATTTTAAAAACTCTTACTTATTGCAAATAGAAGCCACCTATTTGTGTAAATAATTGTAAACCAAAGTATACTTAAACTTCAAATTACACTCTGGACTTTTATTCTTGGTAAATTATTATTATTATCATTATTATTATATTCCCGGAGAACTAAACCGATAGGAGTCATACAATACCTAAAGAAAGAGAATTAATCAAGTTTAATCCGAGAAAGGGAAGAGTAGCTTCATTTAAATCAAGAGACCTTCACCTCCGTCAGGGCACCCAGACCCATCTCCTCTTTCCTCTGAAGGTGTGTAGTGTCAGTAATACTCACGATGAAGGTGATCCTGAGCGTTGGTTGAGCCACAACGATGGAGGAGAGACGGAAGTCGTTGCATACTTTGATGGCAGACATCACCTCCCCAGATGCTGTCACTGTCAGGAGAGGAGATACCTTTATTATTAATTTTATGTATGTATGTATGTATGTATGTATGTATGTATGTATGTATGTATGTATGTATGTATGTATACACACACACACATATATATATATATATATATATATATATATATATATATATATATATATATATATATATATATATATATATAAATGCTGCATGGCCGGGGCTCGATCCTGTGCTACCTTGGCCCACCTAGTGGGAAGCATTCGAAATACCCTGAGGGCCTGAGTAGAATTCTAGTGACTTTTCACCTGGAGCTGTTGATGCGTATGAGTTGTAGGAGTGTTGGAGAGAGCTTTAGGATTGTGGGAGTGAGTTGAATGAGTGTGGCAGATTACCTTGTCTGTTGGAGTGAGGGGTGACGTTTGCCTAGTGATCAGGTATGTCAGAGTGGCAGCCATGCTACAACTTCCTGTATTCTGTGTGACTATTTTTGTTAAAGAAATGTGAGATGCTTAGAAACGGCTGCATCTTGTAGGGATTTCGTTCTGTGATGATCGTTGGTGTTTTGGTTCAGTTAGATAATCTGTCTCAGTGGCTCATGCATAAATTGCTAATATCATCCCTGTTGCACACATATTTGTGCTCGTTTATTATACTGGACAAATTTATGCATCTCTCTCTCTCCTACGAATTTCTTTTCACAGTGGCCACAGAGAATTTTGTAGACACCGGCCTAGGCTTCTACAAGTGCATGCTTTTATGGACGTGGATGTTGCTCGAATCCTATGTACGTGTTGTGTTGCTGACTCTACCACTGCTTGCTGAAACCATATACTTCTTGTCGACGAGTGCACCTTAGGTGCAATCACTTTGTAGTCTTGTACAGAAGACTGCAAACTGAAGATGGCTAAAATGCTTGCAGTCAGTAGGTGCTTTCCTGTTTTCCTAGAGGAGGAGTGCACCTACATATTCTTCAATCATTTAACGAAATCGAAAAATACAGACTATTATTCTCATGTCTTTATAATTATTAAAATATTACTCGGGAAATACCAAACCCATGTGGGTTATGCAGTGCATAGACTAAGGAAGGCTCGATCCTGCATCTGCTAATAGCGGTCTAGTCTCTGGTCTAGTCTGCTGGTCTCACCTCCTTCTACCTGGACGTAATCATAGCAATGATTCTCAAGGTGCAGGTAAGTGAACGTAACGATGAAGGAGGAGTTGCTGGGACTGGGATTGTTCAGCGTCCACACACAGAAGAGTCTGTTGTTGTAGTTGCCTTGGAAGAAACCAGGAGACACCAACACCCCGCCGGAAGACGCCAGCTCTCCGCCACACTCTGCAATACCAGGCAGGCAGAAAAGTTAGTAGACAGCGTCCAGAATGTCTCTCATCAACAATGCTTGCTATGTTCACCCACAAATTAAAAAAAAGGCGACTTTAAATGCTTCCTTTCACTTGTCATTAATGTTCATAGATCTAATGATATATTTATGTTGTTGTAATCTTAGTTCAAGACTTTTCCTAGGTTGACCATAATAAACTTCATCACAATTTTTTACAGGGAATCTTATAGACACAGCCGTTATCAAAGCTCTCAAAAACAGTGATGAAAATACAGAAAGTTTAACTCTATCATGAAGTGAAGAATAATAGTACACATAAGAACAGTTATTTGTTGGTTTTCTGTAAATTTTAAATATAAAAATCAAGGATCCCCTTAATAATTAAAACATCTAGGAAAAGTAATGAGTTATTTTGTTCAAACTCAACAGTAAAATTTATGGAATGGTTTATATCTATATTCTTAGGTATTATACATAAAATATTATGAGCATGTCTCTACCACTTAGCTCTACTGGGAAGGATATTATCAGCAATCTTCTTTCAAAGTATTCCATGTACGAATTGCTAAGGACAGATGAGAGAGGATTTCCCAGTGCCATACCAAACTTTTGATTCTAAAATTCGCCCTTAAACACAAACATTGCATCATCAATACAGAGTTTAATAAGCTCAATTGTAGGTACTGGTACAATATGCAGAACAACAACTGGTATACGGTGATTGTTCTGAATATTGTGATATCACCTGTAACATACCCTGAGGATCGTTGAAGGATTCAACCATAGTTAGGAAGCTGCCGTTAGCGGCTCTGTGAGAGAGAACGACTCATGACTTACCTGAACGTCCTTAGTGGCTTCAAAGCGAAAGAAAACTGCTTCAGAAAGAGAGGAAACGACTGAAGGCTTACCCTGGGGGTCATCTGAGGACCAGCGCAACTTGAACCCTTTTCCCTGGGTATGGGAGGAACTCAAGGAACTGAAGATTACTGTCATTGTGTTCATACTTGAGTTGAAGCCATAATGATTCGTTACCTGTTGCAGCAAAAATATTATATGTATGAGACAGAGAGAGAGAGAGAGAGAGAGAGAGAGAGAGAGAGAGAGAGAGAGAGAGAGAGAGAGAGAGAGAGAGAGAGAGAGAGAGAGAGAGAGAGAGAGAGAGAGAGAGAGAGAGATTAAGGAAATTATACTGTCTACATAAAATTGCAGCCAGGACTAACTGATATGCAATTCTAGGACAATAGGAAAATAATTGTTCTTGATAAGAGAATCTTTTCTGTCTTGATAATGAGACAACTTTCTTTATAAAATGACTGGAAACAGTGTTAAACGTTCTGCAAATGGCTGCAAATTGGGAAGAATTACTCAGAATCTATCTGATACGGAGAATCAGTTCTGTAAACGACTGAAAGCAGGACAAATTTATTTGGATCTAAATATCCTATTTAAGAGAAGAGACACGCTGCAGAAATATGCAAATGATTTGCTCTGGCAGAGCGAAACGAAGTAAAACACTGCCAGAATAAAAAAAAAAGAGTGCTGCAACATGCCTATTCAAAGATAGATTGGTAACAGGATATATGGAGGTACCTCTGGAACTGTCCTGGGGACCCTCATCCTCAGAGAAAAGAATAAACTTGCTTCAGGGAACACTCGAGGTTCTCCCTGAAGCTGTTTGAAAATTTTCTCCTTCCACCCCCTATATTTAATATAAATTTTATTTAAAGACAAAATACATTGACAAAAATACAATAGAGGGTATTGGTAACATATATATATATAAAGGATGCAGTTACCTGTGAGTTCTTGCATAACGGCATGTTGAGGATGGGACTTTGCCTCAATGGTCCATTCTTCAACTGGAAGGACTCAAGAGTTAGTACAGTATAAAGGAGAATTAGACTCTACATAGGAAGTTAAAATACGTAAAAAAGTTAAATATAACAATGAGAGAGATGGAGAAAAGTGGTGCATGTGAAAAAATCTCAAACAAGCATAGGTAGGGATGAATATATGATCACTGTTTAGGTGCAACATTTTATACTTATATATGAACGCTATATAGGTATGGATAGGGGTGCTAAAAACAACTAAATATCGCTGCATGCATACTATCTGCCTCTGAAAACGATATCAATACGACACGATACAAGTAGATGTAAGATTTTAGTCACCATGATATTATCTCTACAGATGATTCTACCCTCGTGGATCTCGCCGCCGTAGAGATCGATGTCAATAATTTGCAGCCGAACTCTTTTCCCTGGAGGAACAGTTATGACCCAGTTACAAATCCTGCTGGAGTAGCCGAGGGGGTAGCCTGGAGATGTGATTTCTCCTTCGTGGCTTACCAGATCGCCTCCACATTCTGCATACAAAAGAATGAGATTTACTGGGCAGGTCCACCTCCAACTACAGTGATTACTAAGTTTTCAGCCAAATTATTATTATTATTATTATTATTATTATTATTATTATTATTATTATTATTATTATTATTGTATATCTTAGCCTTTCTTCAGCAAACAGTTCTATGAAGATGGCCTCAGATTCATAGTGACTATGATGATGTTGAAAATGGTTGACCAAGATAGCGTTTAATACACTCCGCCGATAAGGGTAGGTCCAGCACCCTTGGCCCTTACCTTCCAAGCTCTTGTTGAACATGAGCCTGAAGCCCTTGCACCTGGCCAGGTTGGGACCTCCCGTGAAGGTAATGTACGCGATGTTGGAGTAAGTGTTGATAGGTCCCACCTCCTCCCTAGAGCTGCACAACGTACCTAGCACCTCACCTGGTCAGACGAAAACAGGGATCAGCATTCAGCCTTGTTGTTGAGTGAACACATGTACGATTTTCCGACGAAATAAGAAAGTTGTGTTGAGTATCACTTTGTGTGAATGATTATCTACCCTTTCAACATTCAGTTTGTGGGTCAAACTCACTTTGCTCATTCATTCTGTCTTCATTTTGAATGTAAGGCTCACTTGGTAGTCATCAATGACACAAAGTAAATTCTTCTGCCATGACTTTCGCCTTGACTAATTTCTCGTGGCAAATTAACTGGGCTCTTTGTGGGGTTTCAGAGAGATGAATAAATCATCTAATTCTCACTATTGGAAAACCACATTTGTTCATCACTGATGGCCTAATAATACTGATATAATTATATTCCTCACAGTGCTCTGATTATCAATATAATTTCTCTCTCTATCACACACACACACACACACACACACACACACACACACACACACACAGGAACAAGGGGTCACAACTGGAAGCTGAAGACTCAGACGAGTCACAGGGACGTTAGGAAGTATTTCTTCAGTCATAGAGTTGTCAGAAAGTGGAATAGCATAGCAAGTGAAGTAGTGGAGGCAGGAACCATACATAGTTTTAAGAAGAGGTATGACAAAGCTCAGGAAGCAGAGAGAGAGAGAGGACCCAGTAGCGATCAGTGAAGAGGCGGGGCCAGGAGCTGAGTCTCGACCCCTGCAACCACAATTAGGTGAGTACAATCAGATGAGTACACACACACTCACACACACACTCACCACTCAACACACACACTACACACCACACACACACACACACGACACACAACACACACACACACACACACACACACTCACCTCCTCGAGAGTATACAGATATGAGTTGAAATATAAAGATAAGTTAAGGTAATTAGATTTTTATATCACTAGAGTCAAAGAATACGTTATCAAAGCGTTAGATACTCATAGATCATAACAATTAGACAAAGATAGATTGCTTTAATCAGTTCATGGATTCAATATAAGGTAAAACCAAGCCTAAAAAAGTTCAAAATCCCCACAGCTACAAATAGGTGAGTACAAAGCTTTATGTAGGGGCCGAGGGACTGATCATGTCAGATTTACTTCACTGCTTCTGCTGTATCCAATATTTAAGTTACCTCTTTATTCGACTGACAAAGGCTGCTCAGCGATATATTTCGAGAACAAAGATACTGAACTGTTACCTACGTGTTTTACTCTTCTACATGTCGGTACACATGTGGACACATCTAGCGCATGGAATGGAAGTTCTATCCTCTGTTAAATGATGGACTCACCCGTGGCATTCTGGTCACGTATCTGGAGGCGTCCGCGTAGATTGGTGCAGTTCACAGAAGCACTACAAATGTCGACCTCCAGGAACTGCAGCGTCACGTAGTGACCCATAGGCGCCTTGACCTTCCAGGTGCAGTTGATGTCGGCACTGTAAGGAGTGGGGAAGCCTGGCGATGTGATTATGCCATCCTCCCATGCGTTGTACGTCCCTCCACACCTGTCTGGAATCAGGCCGAAAGATGGCGGTAAGTATCTTTATCTTCTTAATATATCTAATCTGCAAGAAGCATTTGATTTTGAAAAAAGAATCATTAAAGTGGCTTGAATAACTCAGCCTAGAAATTAAAGATGATACTAGACCTAATTTCAGCCTCTTTTAAACTTGATAGTGATTATGGAAGGACCGAAACGTGGTCTAGTTTCATCTCCAATTTGTGGCTTGATTGCTAATTTGGTTTCTGAACCGCTTCTGCAGTGCCTGTCAAGCATGAGAACATCTGTAACGCTGACGTTATGTTCGTCCCTGGAACCTCCTGTTTAAGAGAGATAGGTAAGCTCCCTGTCTAAACCATCTATGACAGCAGATTCTGTATTTCTCGTCTTCTCTAGCACCATTCTTGTGTTTGTTCCTACAAGATAGTACAGATTACAATTACATATTCCTGAAAAATCACTAAAATCCGTAAAGGTTTAGCTGCCACCATTCTATGGCTGATAATTTCTTACTATCACAATTCCCTTACGTCTGGAACCTACTTCTCAACTACTGAAACCTAATTTTTCATGACAGGTGCCTGCTTCCTGGGGATAGGAACCACCTTCTTCCTACACGACTTGACTGGAACCTACCTATCGTCGCCTCTGCTTTGAAACCCAAGTGTGGGGACTGAATGTTGTTGTAATAGCGGACGTAGATGGCGTTCCCAGTGGAGTGCTGCGTGTTGGGGGTGTGCGTGCCACAGAATTTGCCCAGCTGGGGAGATAAGATTGTTCCTCCATCCCTCACTTCCACGAAGGCTTGGCTACAGTTGCTGGTGGCACTGTAGAAGGGATATGAGTTGCTTGGATAGAAAATTTAAGTGATTTCCACAAGGGTAGGTGAGTAAGATTTAACTAGTCCGCTTATTATTATTATTATTAAGATTAGCCGGTATTCTCCCGGCCCGGGCCTTTTCCAAGTGGTGGCCCGGCCTTGGCTCCCTCTTTAGGGAGTGTCTGAGACCTAAGTCTCCCATGGGAGGAGGTACAAGTACCTCCTCATCTTTGGGACCAACTGTCCCCAGGCCTAGACACAAGCTAGGCCTCTCTGGTCTGCCATCCCCGCCACAAGGGGGCAAATGGGAATGACAGTCTTATGAGCTAAAGGCTCGGGCTCAGGCACCTACCCTACCCTAGAAGGGTTAGGCATGGTATCGATGACTAGTCCGCTTAATATAGCGTACTAGTTAACTAGGCTAGAAAGATTCGCTTAAGAAGATTAGGGTATGTGTATAGTAGGTTTAGGTTAAAAATCGATAATAAAAATATTAATCAAATAATTTTATTATTATTATTATTATTATTATTATTATTATTATTATTATTATTATGATTATTATTATTATTACTGTATTCATAGGGAAGTGTTAAACCCACAAGGGCAAAAAAAGAATAGTAAATTTAGGTAGAGTTACTAATTTTAATTAATGTTATTAATAAAGTTAGGCAGTGTTAATATAAACATGGAAGGTTACGTTACCTATATAACACCTATGGAATGCTTATGTCTATTACTGAACCTTGCCTGACGATAGACTTTTATATTACCTGTCATCGCTAAAGATTGGAAAATCAGGGGTAATGTCGAAGGCACCCACAAAGTGTAGTGAGATGGCCTTGTCTTGAGGAGCCAGGATGGTCCAAGAGCACTCTGTGTTGTGGCTTGGAGGGTTGGGGAAGTTGGGTGACTGGATGGTAACCGTGGGCATGTCAGTAGTTAGGTGGTGACTGCCTCCACAAGCACTCGCCTGCTCGTAATAACGCAACTTGAAACCCTGAAACAGAAAGAATCAGTAAACTTCGAATTTTCAGCCATTTACACAAAAAAGTTCCTAATTAACAATTATTTTCAAATGCTATTTCTTAAACTAATTTTCAGTAGTATTTTTTATATTACTAACAAGGGCGTTCTGAATTTAAATATCCCTCAGGGAGAAAGTTACTCGTTATTTAACATTCTCAGCATCCCAGCACTGAAATATGCGCATTCTTCAATCAACACAAGCCACAGAGGTGAAATTTATTCCATATTCATGTTCAATAGACAGAGTTCAATTTCCATTCTAATATCAGCAACCAAGTTCGCCCTAAACAATGATGCGGTAAAGCTATACATAGCAGCCCCACACAAGAAAGAATATGCGTCACGATACCGTTGCTAGAACGATCGTCAAATATCCAGCACTTTGGAGAGAAAATTTTATATCACGTTTTGCTCTGGACCGAACATTGGAGGTTAGTTTTACAGTGAACAATATGTTGCCCTGAATATGCTGTACCAAGTTACAGGAACTTCAAAATTCTAACATGTATATATATCCATCATAACGGGAGAAAGCAGTGGACGAGACAGACGAGGGTTAAGGAACAGCATTAATTTATTTGGCTCCGTTTTGCATTTTTTTGTGAATACCTAAAAATTAATGTGATTTTGACCAAACAGGATTTTACTCAACAAACAACAAACTTATATATAGATTACCCTCCACTGAGGCTATCAAGTTTCTCTTGAGTGGAAGGATGTCCTTAATATGAACCTTCAATGGGGTTGCCATAAAGCTGGTGAAAGGCTCTTGATCCAAGGAACTTAAGTTACCTTTCCCTTTCTGTATAACCTTCCCGGGCGTAGCGCTGCCTGACAGATATATAAAATCCATACGTGGAGCTTATATTAAAAGAATGATTTTTACTTATTCATCGAAGACATTCTTCTATAAGCAAAACAACCACGAGGGGAGTTGAATGATAGCTCTAGACCTTTCGTGTTGCAATCACCATTCCACCCCCCCCCCTCACGTGGTTCTTTTGCATCTTGTATCGCTTGTTCGCAATATTTGCATAATTCTTCTATAAATTAACATCACGTTTGAAATGACTCACTGAAGTCAGGTAAATAAATGATATTTCCTCTCACCTTATCGGCGTTAATAAAGTCTGAGCTGAAGAAAAGCCTGACAACATTTGACGAACTCTCCAGGTTCTGTGGGATGTTTTGACCACAAAACATCCCTGGCCCCAGATACGGAGAGGTTGGATGTGCTCCGTTTTGGATCTGTTGAAGATAACATTTTTAGAATTATTGGTGGCTGGAGAATATATCCTTGTTGAGGGTTAGAAAGAGGCTGTTGTAGTCGTTGTTGCTGCTATGGGCAGGAACTGAAAAAAAAAATACGCACGAACACATGCACACACCTTCAATGTAGCAGTGGGTGGAGAGTATCTCACATATAGACAAGAAAACAGCACTGGAAATGAGATAGCATATTTCAGCTTCCAACCGGAATCTTTATTAGGCATTTTGCTGATGAGTACTCCACTTTGGAGTCTAAAGATGTAATCTCATTGCTGTTTTCTTGCCTACAAGAAGGATAGCCTTCAGGATTGACAAGCGATCATTACGCATTGATTATAATCATGCGTGATAGTGAACTGAAGGTTAGGATGGGATTCTAAGGTCTTCGGTTCAATCCGTATCAATTAAGATACAGCTAGACGAGCACAACGCATTCTGACTCACTGTCAAATAGTCTCCGCTGCATGATGGAGTCGTGTTAACGACCTTAAAGTCATCGAATTCCAGGCGGATAGTCCTGCCTATCCCAACCTTGATGATCCACAGGCACTCCTGGTTGAAACGGTAGTTCTCCGGGTAGTTCGGGGTGGTGATGAAGCCTTCAGCTCCTCTCAAGTATCCACCGCACGCTGCAAGAGGAAATTAAGAGTTACACCAATAAGGGGTCCGTGGCCTAGTCTTGCTTCACACGCTGAGGGTCCGTGGTTCGATTCTCTGCAAGAGTGGAAACACTGGGCGTGTTTCCTTACACCTGTTGTCCCTGTTCACCCATCAGCAAAATGGATACCTGGGTGTTAGTAGACTGGCGTGGGTCTCATCCTTGGAGAAAACAGACCTGATTTACCCTAAATGCTCTGCATAGCAAGGGTAGATTGTAACTGATGTCAACTAGGCCTGTATACCTAGTACATGCACTTGTAGAAATAAAGATAATATATTATTATTATTATTATTATTATTATTATTATTATTATTATTATTATTATTATTATTATTATTATTATTATTAAGTCAAACGTTTTATGTTATTGAAGGTTGGGCGTTTTATAGTGATAACTTTTGGGCTAAATTTATTGGGCTAACTTCTTAGGCCTTACTTTATGGGGCAAATGTTATAGTGAATACCTTATGGATTATATTTTATAAAGCTTTCTTTTATCGAGCATACGTTGATAACTGTCCAGCACCGGCCAAAACGTTATCCAGCGTTTTCCTTCGAAAATGTGGATTGTTCCGCAATTACATTTTTTGCTCTGCAAGTCCCGTTTAATGTTTATATTTGTTATATGTCATGTTGAAGCAATTTTTGTTAATAAAAGAAATTAATAAACTATTACATTCACTGACTCATGTGAAGAATACACTTTTCTCACGTTACATGATGACGTTTTCACCTTTACGTCACATGCAGATGTTCTTACCTTCTTCACGTCACATGAAGACGTCGTCACCTTCACAACACATGAAGATGTCCGTTCTCACACCTTGTTCACATGACTAAGACATGCACTCACGTTCTAGTGACGTGAAGAATCACCTCCACTGAAAAAGGACGCATCTGCTACTCACTTGAAGCTAACTTGGCTGTGAATCCATCGGAAGTGACGGTGGAATCAGTGACGAAGCGAAGTCTGAGGAACATGCCGGAGGATTTGACTGTCACAGGCATCTGGCTGCGACGACACAAGGTATGGGTCAGGTTCCAGTTCATCTGACCCTCCACACCTGCCAGGGATAAAAAAAAAAATACCACCATCTGACCCACGAGCAATAACATCCCGGGATCAATGCACCAGCTGATTTTTAATCAATACACTCAGGAGAGCAACGTAAATAAGTCACACATTACTTGACTAGGTTATTCTAGGGTAATTTGCTGCGTCCTCAGAACCAAAGTACAAATATTTATTTACTCCGTGAAATCATTTGTAGATTTCCTGAAATACTCTATCAAATTTTTTGTCAAGTTGATTGAGGACCGAAGATATCAGTCGACTACTAATGCTGCTCCTAATGTTACCTATCCTACTATTGCTATTACAATTCCTGTTGTTACTACTTCTATTACTGCCCTTTTGCTGCTACTATTACTTCTAGTAATAATAAAAAAACTCATATAACTAGTGTTACTGCATGAGCTATTACTAATGCTTCTATAACTGTCACTACTGCTACTACTACTACCAATATATTTGATCCTACTAGCTTGCTAGGCGTGGCCCAAGTCATCAGGGACAAAGAACAAGATGGGAACATAAGAACAGGCAAATAACGGAAGCAAAGCAAGTATAGAATATTAGATGAACAATTAACAGCAGTAGAACAGCAGATAAACAACTAACAACAGAAGAGACAAGGATACAGAAGCAGGGCAAGAAAGGAAACAGCAGCAGAATAAGTAGAGTACAACAGCAGAATAAATAAGTAACAGCAGCAAACCAAGAAGGTCACAGCAGCAGAACAGAGAAGGTAACATCAGCAGAATAAGCAAGGAAAACAATGACAGAATAAACAGAGTACAACAGCAGAAAAAAACATGCAAAAGTAACAGACCAAGCAAGTTCCGGCAGCAGAACAAGGACTGCTCAGCAGCAGGACAAGGGCTGTACAGTGGCAGGACAAGGACTACACGGCAGAGGAAAAACAACAACGCAGCTCGCAGAAGCAGTATAGAGACAGTTTCCTAGTAGAGGTGCCTACCGTCATACACCTCAAGACGGTCGTAAATACAGGAGGAGGACTCTTCTAGCTCGAAGGTCAGAGACATGTAAACTCTCTGATGGGGCGACGCTTGGATGATCCACTCGCAGTTGAGGTTGTTAGCATAGCCTGGGTGACCTGGGTTATGCAGGACGAAGTACTCTTGGAAGCCATAACTACCAGGGTCGAAGTGGCTGTAGCTGTCATTCAGCGTCACCCTGAAGCTGCAGGTGTTGCTTTCGTCTGGTGTAAGAGACGTGAGAGTTTTATGCCCATGATGAAGGAATTATATACGCACTATGACCACTAGAAATAAAATGTGTGTCACACCTAAGCACGGAAGTTGAGGCACCATGAGCAGAGAGAGAGAGACAGAGAGAAAGAGGTACTGCTCATCACAGTAAATCAAGTTCTAGTGAAAAAAATATAAATGAAAGTAGACATAAGTAATGTTTTTTGGACATAGGTCATAGTAAGTTGTTTGATGTACAAATGATAACTGCTTCTCTAAGACATTGAGAATACCTTCAGTGGCTATTTTTGTGAATGTGATTCAACATCTAGACTCAACATTCTCATGATGTGTAACTGGAAGTCTTGTATTTTGTTAATGAGGTCTGTCGATTGCAGGAAATGTGTGTTCGGTAACTTGACCAGGGCCTTCTGAATTTAGGAGAGGCCATAATTTTAGGGTAGGCATGGATTTACCACCTTAAGTGGTAAATCCATGCCTACCCTAGTAGGCATGGTGAGTTAAACGCATTAATGGATGACAGAGACTCAGAGACAATTAAGGTGTCAAATTTAGATAGACACGTTTGAGTGAAACTAATAGAGGCAGGACCCACTTTACAGCGCATTGTTTTATGACGTTTCGCCAGTGTAGCGGTTTTCAGTTCATTCTTCATTTATTCAGACTTCCTACAATAAATACATTCACCACTCACTATAAAATAGGACAATTTTTTAAATAATGTGTGTACTGTACATGCCTTTATTAGGCGTAGCTCTACAGCTCACTTTATATATAACAGTGTAACCATGCTATCAGGCTTTTATATGCTTTTCAAAATAAAACAAGAGCTATATTTCACTTAACAGCAATTTTGGCTGTACAGCAGTAACCTGGAAACTAACCTGCTGTATTAGCGGGGCCCGCCTGTATAGCAAAACAATAGACATTACTTTGGGTAAATCATATCACCTTATGTGAGTGTGGATTTTGACAAGAAAATAAGATAGAGGAAAAATACCAAAATCCTAGAGTAACCCAACGCTCTGGTGGCCTGGTGGTTAACGCTCTCGCTTCACACGGTGAGGGCCTGGGTTCGATTCCCAGCCAGAGTAGAAACATTGGACGTGTTTCTTTCCACCTGTTGTCTATGTTCCCCATCAGTAAAATGGGTACCTGGGTGTTAGTCGACTGGTGTGGGTCGCATCCTGGGACACTGACCTAAGGAGGCCTGGTCACAGACCGGGCCGCGGGGGCGTTGACCCCTGGAACTCTCTCCAGATAAACTGATCCATGTCTGCCTTATAGTACACCCACCATAGCGTTCCATGAAATGATAATCAACTAATTAAACTAGTATACCTTTAAGATTAAAAAGATATCGGTGAGTAAATGTCTGTAGCGCTCCTTCCTTAAAATAATAATAGTAATAATCTTTTCAGACTGCGATTTAAATATACCTACAAACGCTTAACAATTCGTAAACAGGCTAAATTATTTACAAACATTGTCTCTACGTCCACAGCAGGACTCGAACCTGCTAACTCTGTATCAGAGTCCACAGTACTCTACCAGTGAGCTAGACCCAAGATAAGTATGGGCGTCCAGCCGGAGCTAGACGATGTTTCCCCATACCCCCGGGCACCAAGCTCGTTTTGAAAGTTATTTCATCGAATCCTGCCACATGCAGTGGACAACGAAAGAGATTTGGTAGAGTACTGTGGACTCTGATACAGAGTTAGCAGGTTCGAGTCCTGCTGCGGACGTAGAGACAAGGCTTGTAAATACCTACAAATCTCACCATTCATTGTCGTGGCTGGAAATGTGCAATGAAGACCAAAACAACAAAAATGCTACTTGGAAGTGTACAACAAAATCCTTTGCGAAACATTTACCAATGAAAATATAATAGTTTCACCTAGATGGGTCTGGCCCGGGGTTCCTCTGGTATCGACGGCCTCGTAGCGGAACCGAAACCTTGAACCTTCGTGTTGGTGGACGGCGTGGAGTCTTGCCGTGACCGTCTGCTCGCTCGATACCAAGGGTTCGGTTGGCAGCTGGTAACCACAGAACGTACCTAGTTTCCGATTGTCTTCTGGAGAGGGTCCGTTGTAAAACTGTAGTTGTGGATTAGGAAAATATACAAAGAGTAACTCAAAATTCACTCAAAAATTGGAAAAAATAGTAGAGGAGTTTCGATCTGTCACGGGCCACTCGCGACCACGATTATATTTGGAGTGAAATGTGGTCTAGTTTCTACTTTATCGTGTGGGTTAGAAAGACAAAACATATGAATGTTTGTCTAAACACCTTGCAAACTTCAACACTGTATTGCTTCACTGTATCAACATTTAAATATTAACTTTTACTGTTGAATTATTGTGGAACAAAAGTGTTACTCTGTTACTTACAAAATCTTAATAAATCACAATATTACTTTAATAATTAATTAGTAATATTAATAATAATTACAATAATATCAACATGAATACGTTACAATAATACAAGAATCAAACACTCCAGAACTACCAAACAACCTATAATTTCCACTGAGCCTATAACCACCACACAACAAATAACCCACCAACCATAACAACCACACGTAACCACCACACACATAACAACACAACAGTAACCACCACACAACCAGTAACCACCACACAACCAGTAACCACCACACAACCAGTAACCACCACAAGTGTACCAACCGTTAGAGAAGCTAAGCATATGTCCGCAACGGGGCTCCCCTCTATACGCATGTCAAGGAAGGTGATGGAGACGTATTGTCCTCTAGGTACGGTGATGGTCCAGGTAACGTCCTCTGAACCTCCGTAGATATTAGGGAAGAACGGGGACACCACCTCACCTCTCGTGCCAAAGATGGTGCTGCCGTGCACTGTAGGGACGTCGAGTGAGTTATTTAGGGTCGTTAACACCTGTTAATGTTATTAGTCATTTTAATATATATATATATATATATATATATATATATATATATATATATATATATATATATATATAATATATATATATATATATATATATATATATGGGAATCTGTTTTACAATTATTAGTAAACGATAAATAATCAATGGAAGTAGGTGTTAATGTGTAATGCAGAAGACACGAACCTCCGACAAGGGAACAGAGACTGTCTTGACCAGGCTAGTGCGAAGTGCAGGTCAGAAAAACCATTAATAATAAAGACATAGGACCGGTAAAACTGCGCTCATTATTACCGCAGAGACCATATAATTGATTCTGATTCATTGTTTTTTTTTTATATATCACCAAAAATCTACGTCCAACTCACTTAGACTGTAAGAGGCCAGGAAGCCTTTGGCCTCTGTCCCAAACTCATCTGAATGGAATTTGATCCAGAGTGAGTCGTGGGCGATGATGGTGGCTGGGAGCTGGGAGGTCGAGGAAGAGCAGTTATGGAGGAGCAGTGCTCCGGCTGGACTCCTCTCGTGTACTTCCACGTAGTCCAAGTTGCAGCCGTCAGATTCCTCAAGGTCGAATTGCAGAAAGTCAAGTTCTATCTGGTTGCCTGTGTAGTGAAAGATAGGCCATTCAGAGTTGTTTACACAAACATAGATGCGCACTGTGGCAGCCTATGGACCCATATATATAACGAAAGCACAATGTCACCCGCACTGTCGGTATATTCCACCATCGTACAACCACTAATGACCCATGATAACCAGGCCAAATATACAGTTAATCATTACCAAGGTATTAGTTGTAATGCAGTCAGATCAACGCCTATGAATTTTGAGAAGGTAACTTGCCTCCCTAAACTTATATTTGCTGAATTAAATTATGTGAAGCCTCACCCCATGTGGGAAATAAAGTAATTAGCGGAGCTTTGATCCTCAGGTAATTGCAAGTGCAATTACCTGAATTTATGCGGGAGATGGTGTTTTTATTGAACAATATTAAGGCCTATGAACCGATGGTTAACTTTGATCTTCGGTGTTTGGAAGGCGCTGCGAACCGACATGTGAATGAGAATGACAATTCCGTCAAAATAATGACAATGTTTAGCTGGAGGGAAAACTATTGAGTTTCTCCCACAGAAAACGTCCGTATAATATATAGGCTTACGATGTTCTGTGTCATTTTCATCTTCAATATTTACCTTGAATTAAAAGTATACTTAAGCGAGATAATTCTTTAACTGAAAGCCAATTAGTAGTTCTAATGATCTTGGCAGTTGAAGGACCTCAAGCAAAAAGACAGTAACTAAATATGTAATGACGCACTTGTTTCAGGAACTGGTAATGTATACCTGTCACTAGTTTCCTGGCACAGAACTAGTGACACACCTGCCTCCGTAAATATTCCTCTTCCTGGTCTAGTAAATAGTGTTAACAGAGTACCTGATGTTGTGACTAATGACTCACCTGGCCCGGCGGAGATGGACCACTCGCACTCGAAGTTGGCAGGATATGGCTCAGGGTACTGAGGACTTGCCAGCTCCCCGCTCGCAGAGGTCAACTCGCCTCCACACCTCGAGGTGAATACGCTATACACTGCCCTGGAACACCAGTGGGACAAAATTATGATTGACTCATCATTCATGTATCTTTACTCAACACATGACATGACATGCCAAAAACACAATAAGAGTCTTTCAGCCTACAGCGATCATGTCTGCTGAGAAAATAGATTTCTGTCTGCTGACACTACAGTATCTGATTCAAGAACTATTCGGGCCGCTACTATCTGCTTCTGCTGCACACCATAAATAGACAGGCAAGTTCGGGATAAAAGAGCAAGGACTTTCTCAAAACCATGACAACTTGACCTATTATTATTACGTCTACTGACCACTGGTAGCACTAACATAGGGTCATTTTTAAGTAATGCCAAGTACAAATGAAAGGCTCATACGACTTAATATATGAATTGAAGAAAAAATAAGAAAACATTTCGAGAGCAAATTGTGACAGAACAAAACTGTCGAAATAAAAGCTTGCTCTGCTCCCGTGTCGTTTCTTCATAACTGTTAGCAGTACGCCTTTACATCCAGTTAACATAAGTAGGTTAAGTGAACCTCAGAATAGCTATCATCCATGTGATTTTTTTTCCTAGCCGTTTAAGGTTTCTATACTGTAACTTCATGTAATGGGGCATATTTTTCTTGAGTACTTTTAAGCGTGATTGATTTTTTTTTTTTTTGAGTAATTCTTGTAGCTTTGAGAATTAGCGTAAATGACTATACTCCTTATGAGACGAGTGTTATTGTATATATGAGTGTATATACGTTTCGGGTAACAGGAGGACAAAGCAACCTCACAGATTTAAACGCTGTGTAAATCTTAAAATTTCTTCACCTGAAGCTGACGGAAGAGTATTCATTCACTAAGTGGACAGTGAGATACTCTGACGACGACACGATGGACCTGGGTACTTGGCTGCCACAGTATTTGCCTCGCAGCGGCGAGTCCACCAGCCCACCGTCCAGCACCTGGAATAATCTGGAAGTTAGTGTGTGACAAGCTGGAGGCAAGAATCTCCGACCTCTGTTAAGGAAGCAGTGACCGTCTGAACCGGCTGGAGTAAGCTAGAGCTTCCAGTAGTGTCTTCAGTACCTCCATGCGGTTATCGGGTACTTGTACCAGTGACGTGAAGGTTCCAATATTTTACTTATGAAATCTTTAACTGATACAGGATACACATGGATAGTATTGACAGCGGTAACCATACTAATGATTCAACAAGAGAGGGAGGGAAGAGAAGAAAAAATAAAGCGAACTTACCGCAACATATTCGTTGCTACAATTAGCGTTGGAAGGGTAACGGGTGAACATGTCCAGATGCACTATATGTAGGAGGACTTTGTAACCTGTTGCCAATGAGGAGAGAGTGTCTTATTAATGTATCATTAGTTATCCACACGTAGATTCACACCACTTGAGTTATACCATGCCCCATCCCTCTCCACCTGATTTACCTGTGTCCTCTTGACCTTTGACCTAATGGGTATACTGACCTGTTGGCGCGTGGAGGTGCCAAGAACAGTTAATCCTAGAGGTGTCTCGACTAGGGTAATGGGGAGATACCAGTTGACCAAGTCTTCCATGCCCACCTCCACACTCGCCCCACACCCCTGTGTAAGGGGAGAATTACAGATGAATCAAAAGCTTGTTAAGTAGTCTTATAGCCTCTACAAGAGTCATAACTGTATTTCACCGATATACTACCTGCTTTTCTCCTGTATACTGGTTGCATTTCACCTGTATACCGGGTACATTTCACTAGCATTACACACTGCAGGAATCAGTAAAAACTTTGCAAGATTAACTTGTTATTTCATAAGTAAAGAATGACTTACACTTTGTAAGCTTATGACACTAGGCTAGTATATAATCTAGTATATAATTTAGAATAATCTAGTATATAATCCAAATATATAATCGAGTATATAATCTTACCGTGTTGTAGTCTGCCTGGAAGCCTCTACCGTTGGATGATCCATCAGCTTTTAATCTGACGGTGAGGACATTGGAGGAGGCCCTCACTAAGGAAGGACTCGGCAGGCTGTTCCCGCAATGTTGTAGCAGTGCAGGTGCTTCCTCGTCCTCCCCGTCATGCACCTGAGGCGCCAAGGAAAAAAAAAAAGTGCTGCCAGTCGGTGTCCCGAAACAAGAGCGAGGTTTCAAGGTTTCACCGAGGGGGTTAGGGTTTCATGCAGGTTTCTGCATTATTGTAATAAATAGTATAGAAATTAACGAGTATAAGTTGTAAGGAAAAAGTGCTCCATAATCTTCTCAAACAACAAGAAAAAATTGTCTGGGTCTTTCTCCAAAAATTAGGGAATAAGTTTTATAGATTTTTCCAAATTAAATATTTCTGCCCTTTTACCTGTTCCCACCTTAGAAGAATTTTTTTTTCTCTCTCTCTCTCTTTAGCCCTAAGGATTTCTAACTCCTTTTCGCCCTTGATCTTTGTACGTTCAATCCTTCTCAGACATTTTTTTTTAATTTTGACAAATTTTGCAAATATTAGACATCTGCAGAAAAAAAAAACTGCTTATTAATACAGAAGAAAAATAATTATACAAATAATAAATGACTATAAAGTAAATCACAATTTTTTTTTTTTTTTTTTCAGAGACACAACTTACCATTTTCTCCCAAATTTTTTACACAGTTTTATTCCATTTACAGAGAATTACTGTAATGAAATAACTCCCTAAAAATTTCCACTCACAAAATCAAGCACAATAATGTTTATTACACAAGAAAGCAGCTAAATTATTATTTAATGTAAATATTTGGCAGTAAATCCTTCCTTTGATCAAAATTTACCTGGGAAATAAATTCCAGGTGTTCCAAAGTCTAAAATAAATTCTGACTTTACAGGTAATAAAACTGAATTAACACAATAATTTGATAATTCTCCCGGATTCAGTCCCCTGTGTTACGAAGTTTTGGAGGGCTGGGGGGTAAAACACTTGTCTAGGGGTAAATACAAAATTATTCCAAAATAATCAACCTAGGCCTACACAACTGTAACGTCATAAAAGCTTTAAACTAACCTTTCTGAAAGGTCAGTTTAAACTACCCTGTAGAAAAATATACATAGTTTATACAGAATAAATACAACACAGAAACTGCCTTCAACGCATTCCACAGATTAGACTTTTACTAGATGATTAAAGTAAGGACATAGATTTTACCTTATGGGAGTAGCTATACCCACACTCTCCCTCTCAGCCGGCTTTTCCCCACAAGGAAGGTTCCTTGATGTTGGTGAGGGGCTCTTGATTTAGGGAATTGGATCTGTGCTCCAGTTCCCCGAATTAAGCCTGAATGCCTTCCACATCCTCCCCCAAGCGCTGTATAATCCTCCGGGTTTAGCGCTTCCCCCTTGATTATAATAGTAATAATAATCAGTCGGCTTTCAGACTACTGTTAAATACACTCAAACAGGGCCAATCTCCTTCCAGGATTCACTCAGGCGTAAAATTAAACCCAAATACTACAACCTACGCCTAAACATCTCAACATATAAAAAACACACAACAACTATAAACTAGCTTTATGATATAGCCAGCACTACTAGCTCCCTAGTGACACCAGTCATGTCACTCCCAGTTGGTCGGTCGGGTAATACGTGTCCAGCTGCCGTCTAATAAATGTCCACCAAAGAGCTGGTATTATTTATGCAATTATGGTGGATTTTTTCCTTACAATTCATACAATAATGCAGTAACCTGATAACATAGGGATAATTTGGAATTCTAATCCCGGTTAAAACTATCATGTTAAATTTGACCTTGTGTGTGTGTGTGTTGACATGACTTATGTTCGTGGAATACAGTCTTCTATACGTTTTTTCTTTGTTTTGTATTGCATCACATGTATGTAGAGGCGTACAGTTTTCAGTAACATTTAAAGTATTTATAAATAGCATAGTATAGCTGTTAATAATTATATATTTGATATTTCTTCAAAGCTTATTGGGGGGAGAGAGAGAGTGAGAGAGAGAGAGAGAGAGAGAGAGAGAGAGAGAGAGAGAGAGAGAGAGAGAGAGAGAGAGAGAGAGAGAGAGAGAGAGAGAGAGAGAGAGAGAGAGAGAGAGAAGAATCCTGAGTTCTCATTAGGATCCTGAAGACTCTTACCGATAAGTAATCATAAGAACAGTTAAGCGCTGGGCTCCACATCGAAGTCCGTGAAGTTGATTTCAACCACGTGAAGAGCGTCGACTCTGATAGTCCACACACAGTCAGAATGGATGTCATAGTGCTGCGGGTAATTGGGTGAGTGGATACTACCATGGGGTGCAGTGAATAACCCTCCACAGCCTGGGGAGTATATACTTAATAAGAAAGCAAGTAGTGAGACATGAATGAGAATATGAAACACGGGTAATGATCAGGCAATGAGATAAGGACGAGTTCTCGAAATATGAGCAAGAATTAAAGATTTAATACAGAGTAACAGGTAATATAAAGTCTGTCTAATTTTACTTCTGTCTAGATAAGTGATAAGAGAATAGTATAACGGAATGGTTCTCTCAACAAACAAGAACAGTACTGTCAAGTAACAGAATCAGCGAGAGTATTACAGTCGCCTACCTCCAGGAATAGTGGTATAGGAAGCGTCAAACCCTTTTCCCCTGACTGACTGGTCGCTCTTCAACATTAAGAGGGCAGTGTTTCCTTGTGTTGTAACTACGGTGGGTCTTGTCTGCTCGTGACACAGCGTAGTTAGGACGGGAGAGGTCATGTCCTTCCCTCCATACACCTGAGGAAACGCAAAGGTAACTTGAATAACTGGTGTTAACTACCAGTATGATAGAGCGCTTACTGCAGACGACGCCTTGCGCAAACCAGACTTGATAAAGCTCTACTAAGAACAATACGTTGTCTCTAGCAGTTTCTAAATTACAACGGAACGAGTTGAGATTAAGAGTTGATTAGGAATTTTATAAAATCATTATGGGGTACAGATGGTGACTCAATTCTAATTGAATGTGTAAATATTTTTTTGAAATCATGTGGTGTGGGATATGAATATAAAAAACAGTTGCTAGTTATGGAGGTTTCACGTACATTTTCCTATACCTTATCTCATTTGTTTTCTCTCACAGTTAATATCACACTAACTCTCCCACATTCCTTTACATACACAACTCTTGCAAACACGCTTATACCCCTCTCTCATTCTCACACTAATCTCATTTTCCTCCAGTCTCTCTCACACCTCTCTCACGCCCTCTCGCTTCCTCTGTCGCTTTCTCACAATACCATGCTCTGTCTCTGTCTCTCTCTCGCACGCTAACACTCTACTCTCACCAACCCACCCGCAGTACATCGAAGATACAGTTGCCTGAAGACTCCAGATCGAAATCATGGATGGTTATTTGGATCTTGGTGCCTGGAGCCGTTCTGATGTGCCACTCACAGTCCGTATTGATGGGGTACGCGTTCGGGTAGTTTGGACTCGCAAAGTTACCCGAAGGTCTGGTCCATTCACCGCCACAACCTAGAAAATGGAAGTCTCCCATTGATGCAAGATATCAAGACAGTGGAATCGGTGAAGGGCTCTGGATTCAGGGTTTTATATTACACTCCTCTTCGGATCGAACTTTATTACCTCCCTTTCCCTTCTGGAAAAGAGAGGTAATAATAATAATAATAATAAAAGATAACAGAACAATAAAACAACTGTGGATGCAGCAGCGCATTGCCGATAGCAGAGAAGAAAAATAGGTGCATAACATGCACATTTCGCTCTTCTCAACAATATCACAACAAAAGCGAACGTACACCGTGTCTCAGGTGCTGCTGGGTTGCCAGGTAACACTCTGCAGGCAGTTGCACTACGATAGAAGTATCTATTGTCTAACGTCGTCTCATTCAAAACTAAATAAAGATGGCCGAGGTTGTACCGATAAGTTTACAGGTAAGACAAATATGTGATAATTAGCAAACGTTTCGCCATCCAGTGGGCTGATAAAGGCGCTTGAAGGCGAAACGTGTCCTGAATAAAATGGTCTAGTAACCGCATGTGTCTTACATATATAATGTTGGCGAACTCTCGTATAGCACAAGGTAGTTGCAAACTCTGGATGTTCCCCAGTGTAACTTTCATGCAGTGTGGCCGCAAGTTGCGCATATTCCCACAATGTAACTATAATATAGAAAATAACTGCACACTACAGATGTTCCCACAAAGTAACTAGCATACAGAATAAACACCTATGGCAGCAACACACATAATAGTGTTCCTACCGTACAGCTGTCATATGGACTTGGGTAGCCACACGATGTTAATATTAATTTTTTTCTTTCAAGCAAAAATCCAACTCACCGTTGACTATCCATTCGAGCCTGAAGCCGTTCCTTGCCACAGAATGGTCGCTGATGAATCTGATCTCCAGAATGTTCATCAGATTCGAAGTTGCTATCATCGGAGGCGTGGTCTGACAGTAATGACCGAGGCGTGATCTGCTTCCACTCCATTGTTGTCCCTCCCATACCTGGTGATCGGTGAAGAAATGTCAGGTGTATTTATTTTTAAGTGTATTTTGTTTGTTGTGGTTATATCTCTTATTCCTCCAGTGTGGGTATGTTCAGTAATTATGTATTTTTTTTCTAATAGTTCCTGAGTCTCATTCGGTCAGTTTGGTGCCTGTCAGTATATGTATATCCGCATGATGTATACACAAAAAAATGGCATGTAGTTTTTGGAACGCAACTAATTTAAACACTAAAACGCATATATATACTGGAAAGCATAAAATTATGACTTAACTTTCTAATGTATGTAATAAATGCATTAACAAAGATTATGAAGTCAAAATCATATATAAGTCATTCTTTAAAAAAATCATTACCCAACACGCTTACCTCAACATAGTCATATGAACAAAGACCAGACTCGGTGTCCATGGATTCTTCTAAGACGAAGTCGCTGAAGGAGGCGTTGATGGAGTTACCCTGAGGAGCCTGGATGGTCCAAGTACAGTTGCGGTTGTGAGGGTAAGAGTCTGGGTAGCCTGGGGTGGTGATGACGCCCCGGGGGCCTTGCAACACTCTGTTGCAGTCTAGTAAAGAAAGAGAAAAATAATCTTCAGGTTACTGTCCCAAGAAAGCAACACTCTGGGTTATTTCCATTTGGGGAGACCCACAACAGCCGGTCAACACAGAACGTGGACAGCAATTGTAAAGAGACATACGTCTCATCCCATCCGGGAATTAGTTATTGATTGCACTACCTGACAATGAGCAACGAGTTGTCCTTCTGGCATAGTGTACATAACCCTGATCTCACTTGATGCGGATGCGATTTAATAACAACAAAATCCAAGCGACTTCGTGACGTATCATTTACATTCTCGAAGAACACAGGAAAGGGAATGTAGCAGTTGGTATATATAAAATACAAGATGGTTGCTGTATTATGTACCGACACCAGTTTCAGCATGCAACAAAAAGTTCATAAGGACACATTACAAGACAGAAAGATGCAGTGATTTTGGTCAACGTTTCTTGTTATCACAGTTTATCTGCTTCTAAATCACTTTAATTATCAGCTTCACATAAATTCTTTTATTTGAATTAAAATATTAGTATCACATATTTTTATACTATCTAAAGATCAGGAACGGGTGGGGTTAAAACCCACGGCGAGTGAGTCTTAACCAGCTGGCCCATTGGGTTACGCACTGGCCTGGAGTTTTGCGACTTACTTGCCATGGGTTCTAACCCCACCTGTACCGTGGTTTGTTTACAGTTGTGTTATTACGATTTGGTGAGTCATTAAGGCCAGGGATACTAGACACTGTAACAGAACCGAATTCCTGGAATTTTAGTCTCATTCTTACTTGCATTAATTAGAACAGTTAGCTGCTTATTGTGAACATAGCTACAAGATATTTCAGAAACATTTGGTAAGTACCATTGTCTCACAGACGTGCGTATGCTGCCCCATACTCGTGGGTCACTGAGCGTATGCTGTCCCATACTCCTGGGTCACTGAGCGTATGCTGTCCCATACACGTGGGTCACTGAGCGTATGCTGTCCCCATACACGTGGGTCACTGAGCGTATGCTGTCCCATACACGTGGGTTACTGAGCGTATGCTGCCCCATACTCGTGGGTCACTGAGCGTATGCTGTCCCATACGCTCAATGACTCGACATTAGTTTAGAGTTATACATAAAAAATGACAAAACATTGCTTACCTGCTACGTAATTCACCTTAAAGCCTCGGCCGCTAACACTGAAGTCGCTGTGGAATCGAATCCAGAGTGCGTTTGACGACGAATTAATGGTAGTAAAACTATGGTCAGCGTTGCAGTACCGCCCCAGCAGGCGGGACTGCGAGGTACTGCCGTCCCGTACCTGCAGAAATTTAACGGGAAAGTAAAGCAGCCCGGCACTGACTCGCTTCAGTTAGGTAGCTTGCCTGCCTTGTGAGTAAAGAACGAACGATCGGACCTTCACCAGTCTGTGCACTGAATGATCCACACGAGTATACTGCTTCACATATGTAAATAAATAAATCTGACGCTGTGATTTACCTGGAAAAACCCTCCTTCCTGAAAGCTGATGATGTTTCAATATAAATGGTGATTTCCACCGTCACGTATATAAGAAAGGCGCACATGTGTGGTAACTAGAACATTTTATTAAGGAAACATGTTGCCATCCAGTGGCTTTGTCAAGCCAGTGCATAAAACAGAAACATGGCGTGTGTGGGGTGGGTTAGGTCAGGTGATGCACTGGAGGGCGGATCTAGGGGAATCCTAGTTACCGCATGTCTTTTTCACCTACGGAAAGTTGCTGTTCGAAATCATATTAAGTAAGGAATAAAAGAATGTGTAAATTCTGCTCAAAATGCTCACTACCTGACTTCCACAATATAAAACAATGCTAACTCACTTGTTTCAGTAAAGTAATAAAAACCTCACTTCATCTTTAAATCCTACCTCAATAAAATCAAGAGCACAGTGTGGTGTATGCTCTATATCTAAGTCTATGAAGCGGAGAAGAATAGCGGAGCCTTGGGCTGCTGTGATGGTCCAGTAGCAGTCAGCGTTGTGGTGGTAAGGCTCTGGGTATCCAGGGGAGATGATTTCTCCCGTCACAGCAGTCAGTTGTCCGCCACATCCTGTGCAAGGAAGCTAGGTAGTGAATCTTAACATCGATATAAATTATTATTATTATTTAAAAAGCCCTAAAATCGTAAGTTATCTAGCTCTATGTTAAGTGATGATGAGCTGTAATGCTGATGCTGATGATAAACAGTTAAGATCCACTGACACGGGAAAGAACCACATATGTAGAAATTAATATTTAATAGACTCCTTAAAATGAAGGGAGGGGAGCTTACCTTGATGCTGGTAGAGGGCTCTACGTCCATAGAACTGGAGCTTCTCTCCTCTTCCTCTGATCAAACCTGATTACCATCCATTCCCTGGTCGCTGTCTAACTCTTATGAGCCGAGTGGTTACCCCCACAAACGTAATGACTATGACTTACCCGTGGTAGCAGCGTCCCAGAAGAGCTTGAAGCCCTTGTAGGTCTGGCTGAAATCACTGGTGAACTTGAGGTACAGCTGATGACTGTGGCTGTACACCTCGGGTACAGTTTGGTTCCTACTGCACACCTTCTTCAGCAGTGGGGACGTAGAGTACTGACCGTTCCTGAGAGACAGGGTCAAGATGAGTAAAGACGGGAGGCACTTGGTATCGTTGTAATATTTTTTCATACTGAGAGACGTTTTTGTTCATGTCATCTATGAATTCACAATTTCTTTCATTTGCTTGCTTGTGTGTAAGTGTGTGTGCAACTACTAATTTGAGTTTTCAAGTATTGAGCTCCAGCTCTTAGGTCTCTCCTCTTATATTTCATTTGGTTGGTGTTCTCTAGCCCCTCTGGGTCAGTCGTACCTACTTTTGAAGCCGAGTCTGTTTCCACTATCTGGCCTTCCTCCTTATATTTTCCTCAGAGTGGAAAAGTGCTTTCTAACGTTGTTATAGCTCATCTGAGTAATTTCCATGTGTGTTTCTCACGTTGATTTATCTAATATCCAAAAATCTGTCTCTGTATCTTTATCCAAAGACCTCCTCCAGTGATGTAAGCTGTTCAGCTCCCTTAATTCTGGTTGCAGGGGTTAAGTCTAAGCTTTTGTACTCATTTCTAAACTAAGAATATTTATGTTCACTCGATCCTTGCATTGTAGGCCTCCTCATCCCCGTCCTTAAAGCAGTGTACAGAGCCTGGGACGCATTCATATGTATATCTTAGTGATTACTAATTTATAGCCAAAGAAATATGTCTATTATAGTGGCGTCACTGTACGTCTTTCCTTACCTGATTTCTAAAGCATCGTAGGAACAGTCGTCAGCCATCTCCATCTCCACTTCCTCGAAAGTGAGTCGTATCTGCTGGCGTCTGGGGACACTGATTGTCCACTCACACGTACGGTGGTTAGGGTAGTTTAAGGGATAGTTTGGAGAGGTAATCATTCCCACCTGACTGTGGTAGTGGCCTCCGCATGCTGGTGATGGAAGGTAAGTGGTTAGTAATGGTCTAGTGGTGGGGGAAAAGCAGAAGGAAGTTTGCTCTGGTTAGTGAAGGAGACAATGATTCTTGTTTTTAGGAAAATGTGTAATAAATTGGATGAAATCAGGTCTCGTTTATTTTGAAGAATTAAGGAAATGTGATTATTATCCACACAAAAGTGTACATACACATATGTAGATAAACACATGCGCTATTAAAAAAAATATCCCCGGTTTTTGTCGCTCTCTCTCTCTCTCTCAGCACTTACTCCTCGAGGTGTTCAAGCCGTGGTAAGTAAGAGAGAAGCCATCGAGGTTCAAGTTGTGATCAGAGTGGAAGTGGATGGTGACAAGATTGTCTGAAGACGTCATCGTGGGAGGCCTCTGCTGTCCACAGTAACGCCTGGGGAAACAGGCAAACCGTCACCACACATACACACACACACACATATATATTATATATATATATATATATATATATATATATATATATATATATATATATATATATATATATATATATATATATATATATATATATATATATATATATATATAATATAACGTATTTATATATCATAAGGGAGAGTCTTAAGCGTGGATTAGCAGTAGAGTTCACTGTAACAAAGATGTGTGAACAGTACAGTGGGAGACCTGGCTTGTAGATTTTGAAATCTGAATAGGGAAACTAAATTGTATGTGTGTGTTATGTACGTTTAGAAATCTTAAACGAGTTTGTGTTTTGGAAAACTCGGATTTCCTTGTGATGACTGACTAGAGCGGTGATCTTTGCTTAGAGATAATTAACTGTTGATGATTCCTATGCACGTATACGTAAGAGTGATAGCACAGGGAGCATAACGAAAGTCAACTTACGTTCCCATCCTGCCCCCCATGTTCGGTATGGAAGTGTTATCGAAGATCTCCACGAAATCATAGTTACAGGGATGGTGACCTTCCAGACTGAAGGAGCTCCAGGTGAGCTGAATAACGTAGCCTGGAGGCAAATCCAGTATCCAGAAGCAGTCAGTATTGCTCGGGTAGGTCTCTGGGCTGTTAGGAGAGTTGATCACACCAGAGAGTTCGCGAAGCACCGCTCCGCACCCTGAGTCACATCAAGCACCCAGAGCGTTAGAAATTTTGTTGAGAAAGCGAATATAAGTTGAATTTCGATTATTTTAGCAATCATTGACCCCAGTAACAGCCAAATTGGACTATCTTAACTATCACTGATACCAGTGATAGCTAAACTGAACTATTTTAGTTATCACTGACACAAATAACAGCCAATTTGAACTTAGTTATCACTGACATTAGTATCAGCCAAGCTGGACTATTTTAGATATTACCGATACCAGTAATTGCCAACCTGGACTATAACAGCGAGACTTTATCACAGTTATAGAGAACCATTGTTGTGGTTGCCAGTGGTACATAGCGAGTGTCACCCTTTACTTATCATACCAAAAACTAATGCCATGATAACCTGAGTTATCGTAGCTGTTATTGATGCCTAGAAACTTAAATACTGACATTATTTTTTTAATGAAGTTTTAAATATTACATTTTAAATCACGAATATAAGGGACTGCAACATTAGCAGAGTTTTAATACGTAAACATTACTGTGACCGGAGCAATACACAAATAACCCTGACATAGGAGAGAGAAGTATGTATTACAATACAAGTATGTAATACAAGTATGTATTTAGAACAATACACGATGTGTATTGTTCTAAATACATACTTGTACAGTCTCTATAAAAAGAGTCAAACACACACAAAAATGGACAAAATACCGCGATAGAGACGTCACTCGTAGCACCAAGACTCACTGATATCAATGGTGGTGAAGTTGGCCACGAAGCCGCGGTTGGCGACGCTGGCATCAGTAACGAACTTGAGCCACATGTGGTTCAGTTGTGAACGGATCGGATCCGGCCTGCGGGTCTCTGGGCCGCAGTACTTGCCCAACAAAGGAGATGAAGCCCTTCTGCCGTCACGAATCTTGCGCCGACAAGAAAGGAAATATTACAGTGAATCAAGTCTCGGAACAGGTGGGGTTTTGAACCCAAGGCAAGTGAATCCTGGGACTCGCCATGGGTTGAAACCCCACCCATTTTCTGATTTGTTTACAATAGTATTAGTAAGATATCGTGAGTCATATAATATAGTGTATTGTACATGTATAGCACGATAATATGCAGAACGTTATAAATATTTTTCTTTCCAATCACTCTCTGATTTCACTCTTACATTGAACAGTGACCTCGACAGATTAAGAAATTTTCACATATACAATGAAAATCATTTGTTTTTAAAAACGATTCCTATGATCTTTTTTTCAGCATCTTATGGCTTTTAAAGACTTCTGGAGGAAGGCTTTCATGAAGCATAAGCTACGCTGTCAAAAAAAAAAAAAAAATGAGTTCGCGACCAAGTCGTGGGGACTCACCTCAACGTAGTCGTACACACAACGTTGCAAGAAATATGATTCTTCAATGTCAAAATCAGTAAAGTTGAGTATTATGGCTGTTCTCGGAGGCGAACTGATACTGTACAAACACTCCCGGTTGTGAGGATAAGGACGTGGGTGGTATGGCGACCTGATTACTCCTGTACTGCCACTTATCTCACCTCCACACTCTGTGTGTCAGGATAAATATAAAGGTTAATTGGCCATTAGTATTGGTGAAAGATCTTGAGACAGACGATCTTACGCTTAACGGTTGCAAGACTGAAAGCCTAAAGGTCACAAGCCTGATAAATTAGTAGCTAAGTCCTGCTTTTCTACCTAAGCTCTTTTTAAAGTTTTCCAGTAGAATTAAGATAATGCGTAAGTGCATCCTCGACTAAACATGTACGCACTTTCATGGTGCAGGAGTACTGTTATGGGAAGGTAACTCCAATTCCTATCATCAAGAGCCCTTCATCTGCATCAAGACACCACCTCTCCCTTTGATTAATAATTTGTTATGTAACAGAAACTACAGCTTTGCTGAAACGAAACCTTTGCAGTTCCGGTAGCTACCGAAACATCAGTGGAATACTTGACGGTATCCTCATTGCCCTACTGAAGTCTCCTATTTCAGTACCATGTATGAAACTCATTCTCTGTGATGGAATATACCAGGAGGATGGTCCAAGAGGATGTTCCGGGGGTCAACGCCCCCGTGGCTCGGTCCATAACCAGGAAGCATAGCAAGCTTCCGTGCCTACTACCCTTTCATACAGACAGAGTAGACTTGCAGTGTACCGCTGACGTATAAAATTCTATGTACTAAAAACAAAATCGTGGAAGCCTCACCTACTTGGTAGGTGGCGGTGAAGCCCCGCCCGCTGATGGAGTAGTCAGAGTGAAAGATCACGAAGAGTTGGTTTCCTGAGGAGTGGACGGGCAGCGGGGCGTTGACGCCACATGTCTTGCTTATAAGGGGGCTGTCTGCGCTGCCTCCATCATGTATCTGTGTTGGATAGTTACAAGAAGGATTTAGAAGGAATATGGAGGAGACACACATGCACAAACAAACAAACAAAAAAAGGCCAGGTGTTTATCAACAAGTGCCTTTGACAGATAGTAACTACTACTAATACTACTAGTACTACTATTACTACTACTATTGCACAAGACACAATCCCACAGGACATATGTTTACCGACAAGTGCTTTTGACAGCCCGTAACTACGCACACTAAATCTTAGAAATAAATTTTAAAATTGCCTAGCCACGGGTGTTATCCTGTCCACTCTTAGCTTTGTCATCAAGATTTCACGAATAACCACCATCTCTTTGAGATGTGATGTAACAATGACAGGACGCACCTCATCCCTACCAAATATATTTCCATCAAGGCGGATGTCCTGATCAAAGGCATGGGAGCTATCCCGTGAGTTGCATGACTTTTACATAGATAATTCGGAAGACTCACAAACAAACCACGGTACGAATAGGGTTAGAACCCACGGCGAGTGAGTCGGGAAACTCTAAGCCAGTAACCCACTCGGTTCAAAACCCACCCATACAGTGGTTTGCTTGCAATCTTGTTATTACGATTTCGTGAGTCACTCACAGAAACATAGTCGTAGCGGCAGGAATGATGACGCTCCAAGTGGAAGTCGCTGAAGTTGAGCTGAATCGTCTCTTGGGGAGGCACGCGAATCAGCCACTCACAGTGAAGGTTGTGGTGGTAGGCGTCCTCGATAGTCGGCGCTGAGAATTGAGCCATGTCGCTGGTCAGGAGGCCTCCGCATCCTGGCATGCCTAGGAACAGTGCATCACATTTTCAGTGAAAAATAAATTTGCAAGATAGTATGATAACCTATTTTATGCATGAAGGTATCTTTTTAACTGTAAGATGCCAGATACCAGCCATTTAGAGCAAACGTTCTAAATTTGCTTGTAAAAGATGAAACAAATTGTAAACACATATTCGGATGTGATTTTGTTAACCTTTTGGGGCCTAGTTCGTAGCCCTTTTGTATATCCATATTCTCTTACGCTATCGTCACAGGATGACTGACCGCCTATCTAGAGTCTACCTAGAGCGTCCTCCGGGGATCAGCTTCCCTGTGGCCCGGTCCATTACCAGGTCTCCTCTTAGATCACGGCCTGATCAACCACGCTGTCACTGCTGCCCACATGCAGTCCAACGTACGAGCCGCAACCAGGGGCTGGTCAGGTACTGGATATAAGGTGCACGATAAACTAGCGCCACCGGCTACAAAATCTAAAAATCTTACCAGGTTCAGCGCTGAAGGAGATGTGGAAGCCGGTGTCGCTTAGTGAGGAGTCGGAGTGGAAGTGAACGAGAGCTTCAGCTCCTGAAGTGGTGACAGGCGCTGGTGCCTGGCTGAAACAGTACTTGCCTAGACTATGTCCATCCTCCGTGAGGCCGTCTCGGATCTGAATCATGCAGGGAAGGTAGAACAAAAGTTAAGGGTAACTGAGGTAGGTTTTGTATGTGGGAGTGACTGGTGTAACTGTGTGGGACTGGCAAATGTTGCTGTGTGGGAGTGACTGGTATAACTGTGGGAGTGACTGGTGTAACTGTTTGAAAGTGACTGGCATAACATGGTAGACAGCAGCTCACTTCAATTCACAACAAGCCCACAGTTTGGAGGGAAAGCTTCAGATGACGTTCCGGTCCATCCTGGACCGTCATGAAATCACAGATATCACTTGATAATGGTCCAGGATGAACCGAAACGTCACTCAACATTTCCTCCCAAAATTTTGTCTCAGTTATTAATTGTTCCAACCACAGTATTGTGATTTATATTCTTCTCAACTCGCCTCAGGGATGCAAAAGTTGGAGTGGGCATCGATCTGCTGAAGATCTACAAAGAGCAATTCACCTCGAAGTCAAGGCATTTTGGGTATTTGATCTGCAAAAGCCCCACGAAGAGCGTGGAAGGTAGTAACTCACCTCAAGGAAGTCGTAACTACAGTTGGGGTGGTGTTCGATCTGCAGGGTTGCGAAGTGGAACTTGATTCTCTTGCCAGGCTGCACTTGCACGCTCCAGTAGCAGTCGCGGTCGGTGGGGTAGCGGCCAGGGTACCCTGGGGAGTTGATGGAGCCGTACTCCAGCCCATGAATTTCTTCCCCACACACTGGGGAGAGAGACGAAAAGCAAAGTTAGCAAGTGCAGTGGAAGTTTATATTCACTGAGAGGTGTGTATCTCTCGTGTATATACATCGAGAGGTGTGTATCTCCTAGTGTATATACACCGGGAGGAGTGTATCTCCTTACATACTTGTTACATGCAATTTTCAATAGCCTCGCGTATTCGATAATTTAATAAAAAGAACATGTAATACAGTGAGAGATGCATGATAGAATTGAAATATATTTTTATTATAAACACTGATCATGGGCACAAATGAACGCACTTGGAATAAAAACGAGAAAGTACAGTATATTTTGGCGCTATATTGACTACATCCTCAGGACACTGCTGAACAGGACCTCAGTTTGCTTCCGAGAGTATTTATTTTTTACTGCATACAGAGTGAGTGAAGGACAGGTGGAATTCATCTCAAAGGAGATGAAATGCACTTCACTGGAAGAGCGGAAGGTCAGGGGAGACATGCTCACGGATCCGTCAGGTGGACTCCTTGATATTAGTGGTTTTATTCTCAAGGCGCTGCATGATCTCTACATGATCCAGTGACCCCCCAAAATTAAATAAATTGTGCATGAACTCATGCACAATGAGTGCCCACTCACCTGGATCTGTAGCGTTCCAGGTGAAGTTGAAGCCGTAGCCAGCCTGAGAGTGGTCACTACGGAACCACAGGTAAAGTTGGTTGTGGGTGCTGATGATGGTGCCATTGTTGCCAGGAAGACGGCTGCCACAGTACCGACCGATCATGTGGGAGTTGCTTCCTGGCCCATCATGGATCTAAGAGAAACAACACAAGCTTTGGCCATGACGAACTAGGGAGCATCATTTGGTGAAGGTGCGTTTGACGCTGATGTCTCGAATGTTCTGTTACTGTGACAACTTCAGCAAACATAAACTTGTAGAGATTACAATTTCTTAGGTTTTCGTATATCATAGTTTCCCCACTGAAGATACATATACTGTATTTTCAGCCATTAACAAAGAGCAGTTCTCACTCACTGGTTTATCAGGTTTAAAGTTCTGCTACACGAGGATAATTAAGGAAGAATGTCACCTGCACACCACCACCAGACAAGGATAGTACTTCAGTCGTTAAAATAGAGACTCAGGTAAACTCTCAGAATATATACACTGAGAGATACACACCTCTTGTGTATACACATTTACTCTCCCATTGCTTACATGTGGATCAGAATTTTACAATTATAGAAGATTATGGTGTTTCAAAATCAACACACACACACACACACACACACACACACACACACACACACACACACACACACCACACACACACACAAAGAGTTTTAAACACGAGCGATACCTCACCTGCATCCAGTCATATCTGCAGGAGCCTCCCTCCAAGTGGAAGCTGTGGAAGGTGACGTTGATAACTTTGCCTCGCGGGACTGCGAAGACCCAGGCACAGCTGATATTGTGATTGTATTGTGTACCCCACACCTCTGGATACGTTACCTGGCCTCCAGTTCCCCTTATACGGCCACCACACTCTGTAAGAAATCACTATGTAAAAACCTCTAAGCAGTTGATGTAGGTGTAGCATACGTCCTAACTTTCTGGACAGTGCTGGTATCAAAATGTTACAGATACACAGATTTAATAAAAAAAAATGTAGAAATCTATTGAGTCGGAAATAAAAAAAGGGAAACTGATACATTCTATCCATTTGTAATACACGAAAGTATTTTCTATTTGTGTAATCAGATTCAAGAAGGACTCCGGTAATTTACTTTTCAAGTCTGTATTTACTATAGAAAAAACATGATATAAATGATAACACTGTGGACTGAAGATATTTGAAATATATGGAAAGAGAAGACATAGAGTAAACGGAAAAGGCTTTTGACGGCCGTTTAAAAAATAGGATATTTTTATAGTTTTTTTCTACGGGCGGCAGATAAACAAAATTACAGCGGCACATAATAAGTCCAGGGAGAGCCCCCTACCCCCCAAAAAATCGATGGAGAAATCAGTCATCGTGTCCAAAGTTGCATGTAATGTATACTTTTATCCTGAAATTTTAGGCCTATTCTTCTATTAAAAAAAACCGTAGACTTTTTTTTCCTATTTTGTGGAGGAAGTCTGAGAATCTGTTAATATAAAATGTTGGTCGCGAAGAAGAAGAAGAAGAAGAAGAAGAAGAAGAAGAAGAAGAAGAAGAAGAAGAAGAAGAAGAAGAAGAAGAAGAAGAAGAAGAAGAAGAAGCAACAGCCTCATCGCTACGACTTACGTTGATTCTCCGTTTGACACCTGTCACCTGTGTGTGTGGCACGGCATTGACAGGTGAAAGAGTTGACACCCTGGGTGCAAGTGCCACCGTTCTGACACGGACTGCTGCTACATTCGTCAACATCGACCTCGCAGTTACGACCTGTTGCACAACACAAAATTCAACTTAGTTTTCCAGAGTGCAAAGACAATATACTATAATAAGTGTGGCTCTTTGATTGTATATACCCCAAGATGTGTGAATCTCTCAGAGTATATTGTATATACCTCATGGTGTGTGACTCTCTCAGAATATACGAGCTGAGAGTTTGCGTTAATTGATATTATGAGAGCAAATTATTTTCGACTGTCAGTGTCCGGTTGACTTACAGTTTCAATGGCCCACTTGTAGTCGCTAGATTTCATACTTAACAGACTAACTGGTCTCTTGAAGAGGCATTGCAATAAGGGATTTATTTAACAAAATTTATACCAACGTTTCATAATTCAAATTTACAAGAAAAGTTAACCTAGCAACCAATTATAACTTTGTTAAAGCTTACCTTATGCAAAACAGGTTAATTCACTTAACCTAGGTCACAGTTTGCATAAATTTAATCAGTTTTTTCTTGTTGGTGACGTTGTTCTTCAGATTCTCCAGGTGACACCCGCTCATCACGGTGTCAGAGTCAACGAAACAACGCCACAAAGGCCTCACCTATGTAACCCGGCTGGCAGATGCAGGTGTAGGTACAACCACACAAAGGCCTCACCTTGTAAACCCGGCTGGCAGATGCAGAGTAGGTACAAACACCACAAAGGCCTCACCTGTAGCAACCCGCTGGCAGATGCAGGTGTAGGTACAACACCACAAAGGCCTCACCTGTGTAACCCGGCTGGCAGATGCAGGTGTAGGTACAACACCACAAAGGCCTCACCTGTGCAACCCGGCTGGCAGATGCAGGTGTAGGTACAACACCACAAAGGCCTCACCTGTATAACCCGGCTGGCAGATGCATATGTAGGTACAACACCACAAAGGCCTCACCTGTGTAACCCGGCTGGCAGATTGCAGGTGTAGGTACAACACCACAAGAGGCCTCACCTGTGTAACCCGGCTGGCAAATGCAGGTGTAGGTACAACACCACAAGGGCCTCACCTGTGTAACCCGGCTGGCAGATGCAGGTGTAGGTACAACACCACAAAGGCCTCACCTGTGTAACCCGGCTGGCAGATGCAGGTGTAGGTACAACACCACAAAGGCCTCACCTGTGTAACCCGGCTGGCAGATGCAGGTGTAGGTACAACACCACAAGGGCCTCACCTGTGTAACCCGGCTGGCAGATACAAGTGTAGCTATATGGAGTCTGTGTACAAGAGCCTCCGTTTAAACATGGTTGATTGGCACACCAGTTGGTAGTTGGTTGCACCTGGCCACCCCCGCCACCCGAGGGCGTGGAGGTGGGCACACACCCATGGTTGCCGAAGCCTGACCCTTGGTACCCGGGCGGGCATACACACTGGACATAAGTCGATGATATTCCTGAAGAAACAGAAGGTGAGTATCAGATTTTATGAAAGAGAATTAGGAGTTAGCTTGTGCCAAATTACCTCAGGTTGACTATTCTTTAGTATCGAATTTCTCACAAGATTGTTTTGGCTCCAGAGATTTGTGTACATGGTAAAAACACCGCTCATGTCTCTTTTACGGGGACTTTCACCTTCGTTCACATGAACGTAAGATCGCTGTCACTTGACAATGAAGAAATAAAAACATTTCGCCCGGTGCCTGAGCTTTAACGATCAGAGATACGACGTTTCTCTAAACATTTTTTAAGAACCTACTCACAACAAACCCGCTAAGTGGAAGTGGAAATTGGCCAACATTTCAGATTATTCAGGAAAAATTATGCAAAACCAAAACGTCGTCACATTACAGTATACACATCTTTTTTGTATTAATAAAATTGGATACATCAGTATTGCGCTGCCACCTCACACTACCCTGGCTACATAAAAACTCTTCGAGGGGGGCGGGGGGGGTGAACAACTCTCGGTCCCAAGAGCTGGAACTATCCAAACGTACCCACCCATGTTCCCATGGCGTTTTATGACCCCTACGGGCTTACCCATGAATACAAAAATAGCAACAACAACAATAATAATAAAAATGATAATAAAAATAATAATTATAATAATAATTACAATAATAAAAATAATTACAATACTACTACTACTACTAATACTAATAATAATAATAATAATAATAATAATAATTACAGTAATAATAATAATAATAATAATAATAATAATAATTACAGTAATAATAATAATAATAATAATAATAATAATAATAATAATAATAGTAATAATAATAATTACAGTAATAATAATAATAATAATAATAATAATAATAATAATAATAATAATTACAGTAATAATAATAAATAATAATAATAATAAATAATAATAATAAATAATAATAATAAAATAATAATAATAATAATAATAATAATAATTTTTTGGAACTTTCACTTGATACAACTTGATTCTGACCAACTTAGACTCACTTGGATCGTCGAAGCAGCGAGCTAGGTAGTGACAGGGTGATCTCTGGCAGGGTGAGGGAGCAGGGACACAGGTGACACCATCACCAGTGTAACCTGCCGCACACGGACCGCAGCGCCGACCACCCTGCGGGAGGCGCAACAGGATCAAGTGTGGAACAGGAGACGAAGGATCGAACCTTCCGTCACGGATCGCTCTGTATGACCCACACGGGTTTAATGCTTCCCGTCAAGTAAAACAAAAGCTTGTGATCTTAAGAATGTTGATTACTTTTCCGCAATGTTCTTTTTTTATGCTATTTTATCGGCAATTTTCACTAAAAATAAAATAAATATGGTTAAAGGAGTAAAATGAATTCAGTCAATAAAAGAATTCAGATGTATTTTTTTTCATTCATTAGAATATTTACTCCTGTTCTCTCTCTCTCTCTCTCTCTCTCTCTCTCTCTCTCTCTCTCTCTCTCTCCTCTCTCTTTTCTCTCTCTCTCTCCTCTCTCTCTCCTCCCCCCTCTCTCTCCCTCTCTCTCTCTTCTCTCTCTTCTCCGTCCTCCTTCCAAAAATATTCTATGCAATAGAATATCACTTCTAAGATGACTAACTCTTCCACTAACACACGAGTAGATTGAGTGAGGCACTTATGTAGCACTCAAGTGTTGCACAAGTGTTGCACAAGTGTTGCATAAGTGTTGCATAAGTGTCTTTCATCCATCAACTCGCAGGTCTTCCGAACCACTTATATTCCACTCACGAGTGTGTTGTAGCAGACACTGTAGGGAGAGCATCCTCCGTTGTTTCCGTTAAGACACTCATCTATGTCCCGACACACGAACCCGTTACCTGTGTAACCTGTCAAACAACAGATATATTAACGGCGCTAGTAATAATATATTTCTTGACGTCCTGCCTTGACACGTCACACATTGACATACGTGATAAAACGGTCGCCTTAATTCCGCTACTTGCATGTAATTCACCTAAATCAGAATACATGTAAAGAGCTGAGAGTACGTGACACGGAGACAGAGTCAAAGACGAGGACTGTATAGTCTGGAGTCACACTGAGGCCCCCCAGTCAGTGTGATACTGGAATATACTGCACGCATCTCTCCCTGAAATGCATCAGAAAACACTTCTTCATTTCCTTGGTCAGTTTTCAAGACGTTTAAAATTTTAATAAAATCGAATTACATAAAAAAATTATGACCCAAATAAATATATATATTCTTATCCAAATAACATCTGGAGATCATCACTCGCTTTCTAATGTAATTCACTTTAATATAATTCACACAATTCATGTCTTAATAATATACTAATGCAGGAATTCAAAACCAGGTTTGAAAACAGCAATAGTATGTTAAATATAATTTCGCTGTAATCGGGGAAAAAATCATATTGGTCAGGTAACTACACACAGTCAAATGAAGTTCTTTCCTTATTCTCTCTATGAAAAACAGTTAACTAAATTTATCTAAATTCTTAAGTAGGTTTGATATGTTGTTCTATTTTAAATTATGTTGAATCATCTCTCTTTTTTTTTTTTTTTTTTTTTTTTTTGCAAAAAATAATACTGACGTATCGAAAATTTGCATAAATTTAGTCAATTTTTTTTTTTGCGTTGGGATTATACAACGCCCTAAAAAAAAAAAGATTTTTTGAACGTCATACACGTCTCTGTTCCGTTGCAAACTTTCGGGTACTGTACGGACTCTCTGGTATGCTATGGGTCCTCGGGTACACGACTGGGGTGGCCGGGTACGGTACGGACCTTGCGGACAATGTCCACAAACGAAGCCGCCAGGAAAGTTGACACACTGGACAGGAGGATCTGAGGAGCAGCGAGGGTGACTGGCGGTGCACTCGTCCACGTCAACACACGCTGGGGTGTCCACTCCTGGTTTCCAGCCCTGAGGAAGGAGAATGAAGGAAGATAGTTTTTTTTTTTTTTTTTTTTTTATTCGCCGGTACTCTCCCGGCCCGGGTCTTTTCCAAGTAGTGGTGACCCGGCCTTGGCTCCCTATCTGGGGAGTGTCTCGAGACTTAAGTCTCCCATGGGAGGAGGTAGGAAGATAATGAAAAGGAATAGAAATAATTATAAAGAATTATTGAAAGCAACTGTCAGAAGTTCACTATGGATGTAGGGAATATTCTATACATCTTTGAAACTTAAATCCTACAATATAAATTATTTTATTTATATATTTATATATAATATATTTTATATAAAATATATATATATATATATATATATAAAATATATTATACATTGAAGCATATATGTAAACAGTATTTAGATAAAGGTAGGGAAGTTTTTATTGCATTAGGATTAAAAAGGCATATGATAGAGTGGATAGGGTAGCAATGTGGCAGATGTTGCAAGTATATGGAATAGGTGGTAAGTTACTAAATGCTGTAAAGAGCTTTTATGAGGATAGTGAGGCTCAGGTTAGGGTGTGTAGAAGAGAGGGAGAATACTTCCCGTAAAAGTAGGTCTTAGACAGGGATGTGTAATGTCACCATGGTTGTTTAATATATTTATAGATGGGGTTGTAAAAGAAGTAAATGCTAGGGTGTTCGGGAGAGGGGTGGGATTAAATTATGGGGAATCAAATTAAAATGAATTGACACAGTCACTTTTTGCTGATGATACTGTGCTTATGGGAGATTCTAAAGAAAAATTGCAAAGGTTAGTGGATGAGTTTGAGAATGTGTGTAAAGGTAGAATTGATGAAGGAAAAAAGGAAGTCTGCGTTGAGGTATATGTGGAGTCAAAAAAGTTATCTAAGGAAAAGAAGGGAATGAGGAAGATGAATAGTGAATGTTACACAATCTTATATGGATGTTGAAGTGGGTGGTAAATGCAGCAGGAGGAAGGGTGGAGGCAGTGGAGATGTCCTGTCTAAGGGCATATGTGGGTAAGTAAATATTATGCGGAAAAATGCGAGAGTGTGTGAATATAGGAGAAGGTTGATGGAGTTGAAAGCATTAGGTAGAGGGCAGAAGAGGGTTGTGAGGTGGTTTGGTCATTTAGAGAGAATGGATCAGGTGTCAAATGAATGGAAAGCGATTGAAATTAGGGAAGAAGGGAGGGTAAAATTGAGGGGTCGTCTCGGAAGGGTTGGAAAGAGGTGGTAAAGGAAGTTTGTGGCAAGGGATTGGACTTCCAGCAAGGATGGCAGAGCGTGTTGTTGAAGGGTTGGAATGAGACGAATGATACTTGGGACTTGGCGATCTGTTGGAGTGTGGCAGGTAATTTAGTGAGGGTTCAGGAAACGTGATTTTATATAGTCGGACTTGAGTCCTGGAAATGGGAAGTACAATGCCTGCACTTTAAAGGAGGGGTTTTGGGTATTGCAAGTTTGGAGGGATATGTGTGTATCTTTATACGTATATGTCTAAATGTTGTATTCTGAAGCACCTCTGCTAAAAGCAGTTTGGAATTGTGAGTTGTGGTGGAGTGTTGATGATGATAAAGTATTTTCATTTTGGGGATTTTCTTTCTTTTTTGGGTCACCCTGCACGCGGTGGGAGACGGCCGACTTGTTGAAAAAAATAAATAAATAAATAAATATTTATATATATATATATATTATATATATATATATAATATATATATTATATATATATATATATATATATATATATATATATATTTATTTTTTTTTTTTATTATCACACTGGCCGATTCCCACCAAGGCAGGGTGGCCCGAAAAAGAAAAACTTTCACCATCATTCACTCCATCACTGTTTTGCCAGAAGGGTGCTTTACACTACAGTTTTTAAACTGCAACATTAACACCCCTCCTTCAGAGTGCAGGCACTGTACTTCCCATCTCCAGGACTCAAGTCCGGCCTGCCGGTTTCCCTGAACCCTTCATAAATGTTACTTTGCTCACACTCCAACAGCACGTCAAGTATTAAAAACCATTTGTCTCCATTCACTCCTATCAAACACGCTCACGCACGCCTGCTGGAAGTCCAAGCCCCTCGCACACAAAACCTCCTTTACCCCCTCCCTCCAACCTTTCCTAGGCCGACCCCTACCCCGCCTTCCTTCCACTACAGACTGATACACTCTTGAAGTCATTCTGTTTCGCTCCATTCTCTCTATATGTCCGAACCACCTCAACAACCCTTCCTCAGCCCTCTGGACAACAGTTTTGGTAATCCCGCACCTCCTCCTAACTTCCAAACTACAAATTCTCTGCATTATATTCACACCACACATTGCCCTCAGACATGACATCTCCACTGCCTCCAGCCTTCTCCTCGCTGCAACATTCATCACCCATGCTTCACACCCATATAAGAGTGTTGGTAAAACTATACTCTCATACATTCCCCTCTTTGCCTCCAAGGACAAAGTTCTTTGTCTCCACAGACTCCTAAGTGCACCACTCACCCTTTTCCCCTCATCAATTCTATGATTCACCTCATCCTTCATAGACCCATCCGCTGACACGTCCACTCCCAAATATCTGAATACATTCACTTCCTCCATACTCTCTCCCTCCAATCTGATATCCAATCTTTCATCACCTAATATTTTTGTTATCCTCATAACCTTACTCTTTCCTGTATTCACTTTTAATTTTCTTCTTTTGCACACCCTACCAAATTCATCCACAAATCTCTGCAACTTCTCTTCAGAATCTCCCAAGAGCACAGTGTCATCAGCAAAGAGCAACTGTGACAACTCTCACTTTATGTGTGATTCTTTATCTTTTAATTCCACGCCTCTTGCCAAGACCCTCGCATTTACTTCTCTTACAACCCCATCTATAAATATATTAAACAACCACGGCGACATCACACATCCCTGTCTAAGGCCTACTTTTACTGGGAAATAATTTCCCTCTTTCCTATGAACTCTAACTTGAGCCTCACTATCCTCGTAAAAACTCTTCACTGCTTTCAGTAACCTACCTCCTACACCATACACCTGCAACATCTGCCACATTGCCCCCCTATCCACCCTGTCATACGCGTTTTCCAAATCCATAAATGCCACAAAGACCTCTTTAGCCTTATCTAAATACTGTTCACTTATATGTTTCACTGTAAACACCTGGTCCACACACCCCCTACCTTTCATATATATATATATATATATATATATATATATATATATATATATATATATATATATATATATATATATATATATATATATATATATATATATATATATATATATATATATATATATATATATATATATTATATATATATATATTTTAATATATTATATATATATATATATATATATATATTATATATATATATATATATATATATATATATATATACATACATAAACACAGACTGCATTGCACTGCGAAAGGTTTCAATCACTTTTAAGAGAGTATTAGAGCAACATTAAGGTCGTCAGACACCGCTAAAAGAGCAAAGAAATATGAAACTTCACAGTCATTTTCATAAGTTCATTGAAAAAGCAAAAATAAATAAATAAATAAATAAAATATTACATTTCTCAGAGAATGTTACGATGCAGTGATCTTCCAGCACATCAACTAACAGGCGAATGCCAGTCAGCCCCACGAGATTCCAATGCTAACCTTCCCCCACAACAATGCCAGTGAGCTCACCTCGTCACAAATGCAGGAGTACGGGAATCGACCTCTTGGAGAAGGAATACAGATTCCATGAACGCCACACAATGCAGTACCAGTAGATGAGGTACAGTTGTCACTTTTCAGATGACAGTGGATACCGTAGAATCCAGACTGACACAGACACCTGTATCCGCCGTCGGTGTTTTGACATGTAGCACCGTTCTGAAGGCAAAGGAAAACCACTATAAGCATTCAAGTCTTATATATTAAGGGATATATAAATAATGCCAGCAGACAATAGAAACAATACTCCTACTGTCTTATATAACAGCTAAATCCATTTATCTGACAGCTTAATTTTATCCGTTGTTAATATTATTTCCATGGGGAAGAGTTAAACCTGTAAGAGTCATATAGCTCCTGGAGATTCCAAGGTAATCAGGTTTTATCCAAGGAAAAGAAGAGCTCTTCGCTGATTGTGCAAAAGAATTCATAGCAACCAAACGCCTTACCTGGCAGCCTATATCTGTGCCGAAGAATTCATAGCATTCGTTAAAGTCTTCAGCGCAGTTATCGCCCTGCCAACCCTTGGGACACAGACATTTATACTGGAGGTAGCCGTCGATGCATGTCCCACCATGTTGGCATGGGTTGTTTTCACACTCGTCCGCCTCCAGCCGAGCCTTCAGCACGTTGACCTTAAGCAGAAAAATCCCAGTTCTTGCGGCCAATAATTAAGAGATGACTGGATGAGTGTGGAGAGAAATAACAGAAGTCAATATTATACCGGGACCGGAAATATTCGTAGCTAACTCCCTCGGGGATAACAGTAACTAAACGGCGTTATCAGTCCCTTCTGGGTCATCATCATGCAGTTAATCAAGCTGTGATTTTTATGAAGGGTTATGAACGGGAATTGGAACTAGTTTATGAGAGATGAAGAGTTGTTTTAAAAAATGAGAAGAGATTATGGACAAGAGATATTGAAGACGACACATTACGAAACGAAGGGCGTTTTTAAGGAGAAAAGTGTAGCAAAAATAGGTTATTGGGTAAGGACAGAGAGGGTTTCTGTTTTTAATTCAACAAAATTCAATACATCGACAATGTTATGCTGCTGCCTTATTCTGTATGGTAGTTACGCAGTGGGAACAGTAGCAAGTTATGTTTTCCTGTCATATTCCAGCACGCAGCGTGAACTGGGAGACCGGCAAGACACTGAGGATTATCGTCAATCATCGTAGAACTTACAGCAGCTTCAAAGGTTTTATTCCAGCAGGTTTGGAGTTACTATTACTTGAGAATTACAATTTCTCAGAATGGCCTATTCCGTACACAGTAGAGATTTTTTTTTATGACAGATCAACTATCTGTTAACGCTCCAGTTAACAGTACCAATCCTTCTAAGATTTTCCAAGTGTATATTATCATGTATCTCACTCGTCTGCACTCCAGGGAATTCAAATCAAGGGACTTCAACATTTCCCAGTAATTTAGGTGCCTCAGGAAGTTTAATCGCCTAAACGGGAGACCTCAGGAATTTAAATCAATCTTATGACATGCGGACATATTCCGCATGTCATAAGTAATGGAATTTTTTTTTTTTTTGTATACAGAGACAGTATGTCACTTTACGGTCAGTCCTGGATCTTCACCAACTCACGAGTGGGCAAAGAAAAAGGAGGTAAACTGTAAGTTCGGACAAGTGATGTAAGATCAGGTGAATTTAGGTTAGGTATAGCCAGTACCAACCGCAAGGCAAAACCAGCACTCACCCTGACTGTCAGTCTGCGAATTTCCCGCATGACTCTGCCGGTGTTCCTGATGTCCCCTGAGCTACTGCTGGTAGCGTTGGAATGAATCTCCAGCGCCTCTATCCTATTCTGGAGCTCCGGCAGGCTGACCATCCCTTCCTGAAGTTGAGCGATCCTCTGCTGGATTTGTGGAATTGTGAGATCCCTCAGGCGGCGAAGATCCTCCTGGTTCCGAGTCGTCTGGAGCGCAAGTTTACCGTCAGGAAACTTTTATTGTTATTATATTAATAGGGGTAATACAGCATCTATGGAAAGGGACGTGATGGGGTTGATCCAAGGAACGAGAGAGATCCTTGGGTCAAGAGCCCATTAACAAGGAACCCTCTTGATGCTGGAGGTGACTGGAGATTTCGCAGAATCTTATGTGTACTCTGTAAACTATATATTTTATTTATGTGAATATCAGAAGATACAGCTTAAGCTTCACTTTAATTCAGCTTCGAATATTAAACCAACTCTAAAATATTCTTTTTATATGATTATACTTGGTTTTCTTCTTGTCTCTCTCTCTCTCTCTTTCATTCCACTCATTCATAAATAAACAGTATTTCAAGTTTCCCGGCAAATTTCCAAAATGACTGTGACTGTCGCTTGCAAGAAGCACACCAACATACATTCTGCTGGAGTCTGGCGATGACGTCGTTGAGTTGCTGCAGCCGCTGTCCTCCGTCAGGAGTGATGAGGGACACTTGTTGACTTAGACGAGACACGTTGGTCACCAGAGGATCTAGGCGCTCCCGCAGGCTGGTTCTGACAGTGGTCACGTCGCTGCGCAGGGTCGTCACGGCGTGCTGTGGAAGATGTGGATGTGTGGGTGGTGTAGGGGTGAAGGAGGAGTGATGGTGGTTAGTGGAGATGTGTGGGTGGTGTAGTGGTGAAGGAGTGATGGTGGTTAGTGGAGATGTGTGGGTGTAGTGGTGAAGGAGTGATGGTGGTTAGTGGAGATGTGTGGGTGGTGTAGTGGTGATGGAGGAGTGATGGTGGTTAGTGGAGATGTGTGGGTGGTGTAGTGGTGATGAAGGAGTGATGGTGGTTAGTGTGGGTAATGGATGGAGGTTAGAGACGTGGGAGTGAAGAAGGGGTGATGATGGTTAAAGTATTGCTGGTAATGGGATGATAATGGTGTGGCGTAAACTACATCTGCTACCAGAGTATTTATAAGAAAACAAAGCGAATATTATTACGCCATTTTGAACCCAAAAATGCCAATAAATCAAAACTTTAGCATAACACAAAAAAAATCATCAAATTAATAGAACATTTACATTGCACTAAAAAAAAAAAAAAATTTGTTTCTAACAGAAAAAATTCCCCCAAAATTTATTCAATTTTAAACACACAATGTGAGAGACGTAATTCCCAGTATGGATCTGCTGAGCAACTTCGAGTATGCAAATTACGTATGCTAATTTCTCCATAATATAATCAGCTCTAAAGTTTGTTATAAATGAAGAACGTTCAGAGTCTCAGTTAAATTTGTTTGAGTGCATGTTATGAAGTGCTAAACCTGTATAAGTTAATCAATGCCCTGAATAGTGAAGGCTCAATTCTCCGTCATCTAATAGCTGCTCGGTCTCTGTCCTGTCAAAATAGAATCTTATGTTATTTCAAGGATTTCAGGGATATTGCTAGAACAACGCCTGCCTACTTAAAAAACGAACTCTAAAACACACACACACACACACACACACACACACACACACACACACACACACACACACACACACACACACACACACACACACACACACACACACACACTCACACACACACACCATACAGGTGAGTACACATAATCAGGATCACGTAAACTCCCATTCTCTTTATGGTCTCGACTCCTAATGCATTTCTTATCTCAAGATGATCCTGCATATCAAGGAGGCCGTGAAATCTTCGAAGTGGTTGCACTGAATGTCGGAGCCTGACCGTGTTACTGCTGACGGAGGCATTGAGGGAGATTATGCTGGTTGCGACCCAGGTTTGAGAGGCCACCGTGCGGGCCACTTCTGACAGATTTCGTACCAGGTACCCCAAGTCGGTGTTGTGAAGGCCTTCCAGTTGAGGTCGTACTGCTGACACCTGGGAACACACGCAGCGTCAGCTAAATTTTACTGTTGAGTGGTTACACAAGGAAACACCAGCGCCACCAAAAAACAGCCGTTGCACACAAGATATAAACATAGGTGTCAAGATACTGATCAGGATAGATAGATAGATAGATAGATAGATAGAGAGAGAGAGAGAGAGAGAGAGAGAGAGAGAGAGAGAGAGAGAGAGAGAGAGAGAGAGAGAGAGAGTAGCTGCCAACACTTTGCTCTCTTTGTTGTCTAAGAGCACTTAGGATCTGTGTGATCTGTGCATATATATATAAATCGAATAAAAAATGCATTAGAAATACAAAATAGCTCAAACTATGCAGTCTAAAAAAGACTAATAACACCCAAGATTTTTCTGTACATAAAAATCAGTCATGATGGTGGAATCAGCACTACGCAAATACGAGGGAGTTTAGTTAGTTGGTATAAAATGTTAGGCAAAAGAGAGAATGAAAGCGACAGGAAAGTAGGAGGAACATTTTATAACTCATAAGTGTGAAGAGAAATCATTATCGAGTCAGTTGTGATTTGATGATTGTCTGGGGAGGACCGAAACGTTGTTTGAAGCTTTCTCTCAAAACTGTGGGTTTAATAGGCAGACATAGAAGGTAGGTACTTCCTGAAACAAATGGTATGGAAAACAAATATAAGAGACAGGGCCTCGCTAGGGAACAATCCTTTGGAAACATTAAAAATAAGGTAGGTATCGAGGTTTCCTAACAAGACACAAGAGACAGAACAAGAAAACTCACCATGGACAAATAAACAGATACAATAGACAAACCAGGGGAAAAGTGATCACCAAGGACAGAGGGAGAAAGGTTATTTAACAGGTACAGGTGTAAGAGGACTCATCAATTACCGAGGTAAGGGTACTCACCAGGGTGAGGGAGCTAGCCACATCCACACCATTGATGACAACAGCGCCAGCACCTTGGGTCCTGAGTGTAATATTCTTACCCACACCTCCGTCAAGACGTAAATGACCTGCCTCGCAGTGTACTCTGGGTCTGTGTACACACACCCACATAAATTATTAATCTTTTGAAATAACTACTAATATTTATACTTAATATAAATAAATAAATAAAAAAATAAATAAATGTGGAGATCTCCGTTGGGAAGTGGAACAGAATTCTTCCTCCGTAGATCATGCGTGTTGTAAGAGGCGACTAAAATGCCGGGAGCAAGGGGCTAGTAACCCCTTCTCCTGTATACATTACTAAATGAATGTAAAAAAAGAAAAACTTTTGTCCTTATCTTTGGGTCACCCCGTCTCAGTGTTACATATATATATATATATATATATAATATATATATATATATATATATATATATTATATATATATATATATATATGTATATAGGGAAGTACCACCTCTATGGCTGGAATGGGGACCCTCATCCTCAGAGAAGACAATAAACGTACCTCAGGGAAAACTCAAGGTTCTCCCCAGAGCTGTTTGAATATTTTCTTCTCCTACCACCCCCTATATATTTTATATTCTATGTGAGCATTTATTAACAAACAGAATACATTTACAGAAAAACATAAACGTGAATACAATGGCACAATGTATCAAAGATCATGAATTTCCTCCAGCTCCTTCGAGGCTGGACGCGAGCCAAGTATGCAGCAAGCATTTTCCCTCTGGATGGCTACGCTGAGGCGCTGGAACATGAACGTGGCTGCCCTTGGGTCCCTGGTGGTGTCGATGAGTCTGGAACCCAATTCTTTAAGGAAACGTGTGGCATTTTTTCCCCATGATCCCAAGGTCTCTGAACCCACTGGGACAAATTGATACTGTTGGCTTATGTCCCTGTACTTGCTGATCTTGTACTCCTCCCTGTGGTCAGCAGCTCCTCCCTGTCGCCCCACACTGTGATGGATGTAGGTGTCAGCCAGTGTGGACACACAGGTATAGTCCCATGCTAAGAGCTTGCTATTCTTCCAAGGATAGATGGTGATCTCGTCATGGCGATTTGTTGGGTTGTGGGTATTGTTGGCTGCTAGTGATCGGGGCTCCCTCTCGGCTGGGAATCCAGCTGTGGCAAGGGTTCTCTTAATGATGTCGTTGACCTCATTGTGTCTTGCATGCCAGCCCTTGGTTTTGGAACAGTTAAGACCATGTAGACCGTATTGGTCTGCTTGCGCTTTGCCGCAAATACACGTATATATATATAATATATAATATATATATATATATATATATATATATATATATATATACATATATATATAATATATATATATATATATATATATATATATATATATATATATATATATATATATATATATATATATATATAATATATATAATATATATATATATATATATATAATATATATATATATATATATATATATATATATATATATATATATATATATATATATATATATATATATATATATATATATATAATATATATATATATATATATGTATATATATGCAATAAGATCACAGTAAACAGGTGATTTCAGAATATGCAAAACAACCACTCTGAAAGAATAGAGAAATTCCAAGCGCTTTTGTGACTACTCACATTATCAAGGAACTATGAAAGTAAAGCATCCAAGGAAGCTATATAAGGGGTCTGGCCAGCACCTCACTATCAGATCCCACAACGGTTAAACACCTGACGCGTGCAGACCCAACTTGGATAGGTCCTTTGCACAACTCACCCACAAACTATTCTACCCAAGAAAATTTTAAAATTATTATTTGTCCAGTGTATTATTAAATTCTTCCCAAATTTTATTAATTATAAATGGATCTAATTTAAATAAACCAAAGGAAATATTCATATTATTGTCAAAACTGCTTTTTATGAAACAAGATTCAATTATATTCCTGTCGACCATGGACTTGCTTGATACTACTTTCTCAACTTTTTGAAAATCAATTGGATGGTTAAAATCTCTTACATGAATAAATAGAGCATTGGACTCTTGTCCAGTTCTAATGCTATATTTATGTTGTTTTTATCTTAGTTCGAGATTTTTACCAGTTTGACCGTAATAAACTTTATCGCAAATTTTACAAGGAATCTTATAGACACATCCATCACCCATTTTGGGGGGAATTCTTTATCAAAAGTTTTTTTACTGTATCAAGGTTTTTGAATACAACTTTAATATTAAAAGTCTTAAGAAGAGAAGGCATATCAACCAATTTTTTCATGGTAAGGGAGAACCAACATATTTTTAGTTGAATAAGACTGGTTGTCCCTTTTTGGATTGTAAAAAGTATTTCTAGCAACTTTAAAAGATTTATCAATTACATTTCATGGGTATTTTAAATCATTACCTATTTCATAAATTTTGGATATTTCCTCATCTATGAACTCAGGACTACAAATTCGTAAAGCTCTCAAAAACATTGATGAAAAAACAGACAGTTTGACTCTATCTTGATGCGAGGAATAATAGTGGACATACGAACAGTTATTTGTAGGTTTTCTGTAAATTTTAAATTTGAATTAATTATTACCCTTAATAATTAAAACATCTAGAAAAGGCAATGAGTTATTTTCTTCAAACTCAACAGTAAAGTTTATAGAATGGGCTAAGCTATTTAATTTTCCTAGGAAATGGTGTATATCTACATTTTTGGGCATAAGACACAAAATATCATCAACATATCTGAACCATTTAGCTCTATTAGGGAGGATTGTGTTAAGCAACCTTGTTTCAAAAAATTCCATGTATAGGGAATGGGAAATCCTCTTTCACCTGTTCTTAGTAACCTATACATGGAATTTTTTGAAACAAGGTTACTTAACACAATCCTCCCTAATAGAGCTAAATGGTTCAGATATGTTGATGATATTTTGTGTCTTATGCCCAAAAATGTAGATATACACCATTTCCTAGGAAAATTAAATAGCTTAGCCCATTCTATAAACTTTACTGTTGAGTTTGAAGAAAATAACTCATTGCCTTTTCTAGATGTTTTAATTATTAAGGGTAATAATGAATTCAAATTTAAAATTTACAGAAAACCTACAAATAACTGTTCCTATGTCCACTATTATTCCTCGCATCAAGATAGAGTCAAACTGTCTGTTTTCTCATCAATGTTTTTGAGAGCTTTACGAATTTGTAGTCCTGAGTTCATAGATGAGGAAATATCCAAAATTTATGAAATAGGTAATGATTTAAAATACCCAAGAAATGTAATTGAAAGTTTCTCCCTTCACATTTAGTAATATATACAGGAGAAGGGGTTACTAGACCCTTGCTCTTGGCATTTTAGTTGCCTCTTACAACACGCATGGCTTACGGAGGAAGAATTCTGTTCCACTTCCCCATGGAGATAAGAGGAAATAAACAAGAACAAGAACTAGTAAGAAAATAGAAGAAAACCCAGAGGGGTGTGTATATATATGCTTGTACATGTATGTGTAGTGTGACCTAAGTGTAAGTAGAAGTAGCAAGATGTACCTGAAACCTTGCATGTTTATGAGACAGAAAAATGGACACCAGCAATCCTACCATCATGTAAAACAATTACAGGCTTTCGTTTTACACTCACTTGGCAGGACGGTAGTACCTCCCTGGGCGGTTGCTGTCTACCAACCTACTATATATATATATATATATATATATATATATATATATATATATATATATATATATATATATATATATATATATATATATATATATATGTTTATATATATGTGTGTGTGTATGTGTGTGTGTGTGTGTGTGTGTGTGTGTGTGTGTGTGTATGTGCAAAGAATCGTGAGATACGTTAATGCTATGAAAACACTATATTTGTGTGGAAATACAAAGAAAGAAAAACAAACTGAGGAAGTGGTTGAAGACGGTGTAATGAGTGTTGAGGAAGGACAGGTGTTTCAGTGCATACCTGTCACTGAGTACAGCTGAGTCAGAGCCAGGCATCAGCAGCAGCAGCAGCGTTGCTGACACCACAACACTCTCAGGCAGCATCACTCACCACGTCTCTGCTGGTGGAAGGAGCCACATCTCATGTACAAACATCAGTGGAAAATATAATGTCACTGTGAACAGTGTTTTCAAAATGTTTTCCAATTTAAAAAAGATTATTTTACAGCGATCTGAAAAGATTTTATAATTTACAGATTTACGATTTCAATTTATTTAAGAGTAGCATTAATAACTCATTGACAAGTCACATTACTCAAAAGTTTGAATGATTCTTTAATTGATATACTTTTTTTTTTTTGGTATAAGGAAATAATTTCAAATTCTGTAAATAGAGGTTTAAAAAAATAAAAATTTTAAGCTAACCCCTCATATATATATATATATATATATATATATATATATATATATATATATATATATATATATATATATATATATATATATATAATATATATATATATATATATATATATATATATATATATATAATGTCGTGCCGAATATGTAAAACTGGTCAATTAGCAAGAACTCATTTAAAATTAAGTCCTTTCTGAAATTTTCTCTTATACGTTTAAAGATATATTTTTTTCATTAATGTTAATGTAAATTTTTTAATTTTGCACCAAAAGGAACTTAGAAAACTTACCTAACCTTATTATAACAAGAGCAATTTATTTTAGCCTAACCCAACTAAATATATTTTAGATTTGTTTACAATAATTTAATACTAAACAAACACAACGAAATATATTTTTTTCGTTAGGTTCGCTTGTCCTATATGGCAAGATGAACGTTGCTATTTAAGCCAAGATCGCAAGTTCTGCCTATTCGGCACGACATATATATATATACATAGAGAGAGAGAGAGAGAGAGAGAGAGAGAGAGAGAGAGAGAGAGAGAGAGAGAGAGAGAGAGAGAGAGAGAGAGAGAGAGAGAGAGAGAGAGAGAGGTTTTTATTTAAAGTACGAATAGTGCTGATATATTTCACAAATTAAATACAAAACTTGTATTATTAAATTCAATTTAATTCAAGGGACGAACAGGCATCGACCTTTGTAAGATAATCCTTAAAATAAAATCTATACAATTAGCTTAGTGTCACATTCCTAGTATATAAAAGTCCTTGTTAAAGACTAGCAGTTGTAATTCATTATTTTTGTGTCCATCACCTTTATACTACTTAAAGTGTGTTATTAATTCACACAAAATCGGAACTCCGGAGAGAAAACTTCTGACGGCGCTTCGGTCAGTGGCGAACAGTTGTCAAGTCACAGCTGGGTGAAACAGTGGGAAGAAAGCTTGTGTTTAATGGCGCATTTTACACCCAAAAGCTGGGCAGTGATCTGGTGAATTCCTTTTCCCAGTCCATAGTAACATGTTTAATAGTTTTTTAATGGAAGTTTCTGAGTTCAATTCGTCTTCCTAATGCCAAGTGACGCAGCTATAGAGAGGATGATCTATGCTTGTGACCAGAGAACAAATAGAATTTACTGTGTATCATGGCCAAAATGGCCCAAAACAAGTGTTGCGCTTATAAATGCTTATTTAATCACCCAAGATATAAGTTAATGCTTTATATAAATCTCCATACCTCTTTTACACTTTTCTCATCTTCAGATGCATCAGCACTTGAAGCCAAATGGCGCCCTGCCGTCAATAATTAAGAAAAGAAACCTTGTGAATAAGGCTAAAGAAATTGAGAAAAGTGATTTCATATATATCTAGCATTTATATTCTGTAATCTGATCCTAACCTAACCAAATTTTACCTCTCTCCTAGCATATCTTCTTCAGTATAACTGTTTTTCATGGTTAAGATACATAGTTTTTACTAATACTTCTCACAGGGACCCCAGTGGAAATAAGTCACTTTGACTTATTTGGGTTATCACAGGTTCTCTACACATATGAAGTATGATAATCTATGTAACTGTATTTATGTATACCTGAATAAACTTACTTACATATTCAGAATATATTTTGATTACGGCAGTGTTTTGTTTTGTGTAGACATTATTATTATTATAATAAAAAAAAAGCGCTAAGCCACAAGGACTATACAGTGTTTTGTGTAGAGTTTTAGTAGATCATCTACATCCAGTGGAGCGTTAATCCAGTCCAGTTAATCCAGAACTTCTTCTATAACGTGTGTCCACCTTCACCACAAATACTTGGTAATGCTTACCTCTCACACTCAAGTTTTAAATACAAATATTCATCCTCTTCTTTACTTTTCCCAAATGCTCATTCAACATTATTTTTTTTTTTTTTTATTCGCCGGTATTCTCCCGGCCCGGGTCTTTTCCAAGTAGTGGTGACCCGGCCTTGGCTCCCTATCTGGGGAGTGTCTCGAGACCTAAGTCTCCCATGGGAGGAGGTACAAGTACCTCCTCATCTTTGGGACCAAGTGTCCCCAGGCCTAGCCACATTCCCCGCCCTCACGGGGCTCGTAGGGAGAAGCTAGGCCTCTGGTCTGCCATCTACCCCGCCTCAAAGGGGCTCGTGGGGATGGCAGTCTTATGAGCTGCAGGTGGTAGCAAGCTCTGTCTTTTTTCAACATTATATCTACTTCTTTACCATAAAAACTGTAAAATCTATTTAAGTTACTCTGTGAATCTATATTAAATAAATGTTGTTTCTAGTTATGTAGCTGTATAGGTGTATTTTTCATTTTTTTTGTGTATAGATGAGTATCCATGTGCTAATCTTTGCTCTTTCAGATAAACCTGGTTCATTTCCTTTAATTATCCATCCTCCCCATCATTTACACCCTCCTACCCCTTTTAATTTCGCCTTACTAAGTGCCAAAACAGATAATTTCCTTCTCTGACAGAAATATCTTTTCAGTTGAATCGGAATCCTCTGCTGGAGTAAGTGTATAAAGACTACACTCTCGTTGTGAGCCGAACAGCGCTCTACGACTGACCTGGTGTTGACAGCTATAAAGACTGTACAGAGTACCGTGACTAAATAATTAAACAGATGATTTGAAATCAATTGAAGGTCTCCAGAACTTACACGAGCTCCTCATTAAAATCCAAAATTTTAGTACTTTCAGGCTAGTGTTTGAGTCAGGGGATGGTAATCACTGCCACAGTCACGAAGGGTCACTTAGCACTAAACTGCGCCAGGCAGTTGCACTTTGTCTTCA